GAAGGTTTTTATTTGGCCTTCAGTTATGAAGGAGAGTTTAGCTGGGTACAGTATTCTTGGTTGATAGTTGTTTGTTTTTAGGGCATGGCATACATCATTACAGGCTCTTCTTGCTTTGATTGTCTTTGCTGAGAAATCTGAGGTGATTCTAATTGGTTTCCCTTTATAGGTGATTACCCTTTTCTCCTTGACAGCTTTAAGGATCTTTTCCTTGGTGTGAGTTGATCCTGTGTGGATTATAATGTGACGGTGGGATGTTCTATTCTGGTCTGGTCTATTTGGGGTTCTAAAAGCTTCTTGTATCTGAATAGCCCTATCTTTTTGCATGTTTGGGAAGTTCTCTGCTAGGATCCTGTTGAACCAATTTCCTAGACCATTAACTTCTGTTTCTAGGTGTTCCTCTACACCCATCATCCTTAGATTAGGCCTTCTGATGGTGTCTTCCAGGTGTTGGATAGATCTATCATATTTCTTGGACTTGTCTTGGATGGTTGTATGTTCTTTCTCTATAATATCTAGGCTGTCTTCAATCCCTGAGATTCGATCTTCTGCATGGTCTAACCTGCTGTCAAGACTCTCTACTTTGTTTTTTTATCCCTTTTCCTTCTAATTGGTCAGCTTTGATGGCTTCAAGTTCTTTGTTGAAGCTCTGTTTTAGGTCTTGTATGAATTTCTTTGCTTCCTTAATTTGGTGTTCAGTGTTTGTTCTCAAATCACTTAGTTGATTGGTTATGGGTTCTTTGGACTCCCATTCCTTCTGTTGGGTTCCATTCAGCATTCCCTTTGTGGTCTCCCTGACTTCCTTCAGCTCTTTGTTAATGGATTCCATGAATGCCTTTAGTGATCTTTGTGTATTCTCTACCTGATCTCTCAATTCCTGTATTACTCTTTGATTAGCTTCCTCCAGTTCGTGGGATTCCTGTAGTTCTCTTTCCTCCAGTTCGTGGGATTCCTGCAGTTCTCTTTGAGTGTTCTCAGCCTGCTCACGCCATTCCTCCCTTTCTCTTTGAGTAATCTCAAGTTGTTCATGCAACTTGAGTAGCTTTCTCACGCTTATGATATTCCTGTATAAGCTTTTGGGATGCCTCCTCTCTCTCCCTTTCACGCTCATACAGAGTCCTTTGTAAGTTGTCAAACTTCTCATTTATCATGTTTGCCAGCAGTGTTTGTAGAGCTATTTGGGAACTCTCCTCTGCATTATTCATTATCTGTTCTGACCCCTGATTATCAAGATTGGGAATTGAGATATCCGGATTTGCCATTTTTCTTGTGTTTTTCCGGCTTACTCTGCCCATTTGAGATGAAAATAGCACCAGTTTTGTGCTAGAACACTATCTTAAGGCAACCATCAATCAAAGTTTGCATTTGTACAGTCAATAGTCTACAGATACAATCTAGTTCAACAGATACATCTATTCAACATCAAACAACTATATGTTAATGGGCTTCGAACCGCAGAGAAGAATTTGGAAAACCAGAAATTATTAGGGTTAGGGAGAAATGTGGGTAAAAAATAGGAATAGATTGGTGTGGGGAGGCACAGGGAGAGTTAACTATGTCCTAATCCCAATGCAGGAAATAGGTTGGGTAGGATGCAAGTAGAGAGAGAGAGAGAAAAAGAAGAAAGGGAAAGGGAAATGAAAAGAGACCAGAAAAAATAGAAACGTAAAAATTAATATTATTATGGAGATTAAAAGACCATCTATTTAGAGAGGAATGTGAGTATATTAAGAGAAGGGAAGGGACATAGAGGAGAAGTGAAAAACTTAAAAAAATGCTTAAAATATTATATAGGTATAAAGAGGTAGTACTGCTATTAAGGAACTTAAGTCTCAGAGGTTTTGAATTGAGTAATAAGTTTGTGGATTAAGTGTGTACACAATGGGGGATAGGGTCTACTAGTTAACTACGGGTTTATCTGAGGATGTGCAGGACAAGAGTTAAGTCACATAAAGAAGATCAAAAGAGAGGAAAAGGTGGAAAGGATAAGAACGGGAGAAAAAAGATCAGAAGTTCAGTAGAGCTAGACAAAAAACAAAAAGATAGTTAAGAAAGAAAGCAAAAGAGAAAGAAGACAAGAAAAGAAAGGAAAACGCACATTCACGTATTCCTAAAATAAAAATTATAAGAGGAAAAAAAAGTTACTGGAAAACAATTATTTTTTCAAAAAAGGCAAAAATTAAAGATTAATAAAATTTTTAGAAAAGGAAAAAAAAATTTTATGTAAATAAGGTACCAAAAAAAAAAAAAGAAAAGAAGAAGAAGAAGAAAAAAAAAGTTCTTTGATTTTTTTTTTTTTGGGAGGGGTGGGAAGAATCCTGTATCTCCCTTTTGTCTGTAACCAGCCTCTTGTTGGAGTCTCTGGTCAGCTTGAGGTCCTGTGGCTTGATTGGTTTCTTAAGTCAGTTTGTTCGAACAGGCAGAAAAATGCTCTGCTTTACCCAAGATTTTGAGATCCCCCTCCCAGGTTAGTTTAATGGGAGGGTGATCTGCTTTGAGAATCACAAAAGAGGGGGATGCAGTGGTGAGGCTAGGTTCTGGGTAGAGTTGAGGCCTTTCAACAATCAGTAGCTTTTCCCTGGGGCTATTTTCTGAAAAAACTCACACAGCCCAGCCTGAAGCCATTCTCAGGGTTTCTGTTTTTCAATTGATTGTTGAGGCTGCTAGAGGGAGGGGTAGCCTCTGGCTCTGGTTACCCAGTGAGGAAAGCCACTCCAATGGCTGGCGCCTGAGCTGGGTGACTTTTCCCTGGATGGAGCTGAGTCTGGCAGGTCACTTCCCCATTAAGTTCTTGTGACCTGCTAAATGACTCGTTTTATTCCAAGGCCTGAGTTGGAACTGGCAGCTCCTCTGAGCTTTGTTGGTATCCAAGATGGAGATCACAGGTGCTGGGGGGGGAGGGGTGGCCTTCCCTCCTCTGCTCCCTGAGAAGGAGTGAGGACGTTGGGCTTCTACTCACACCGATTCTTGGATCCTGGGTTGTCTCTGGTCTGCAAACTGCAGGATGAAGATGTCTGCTCCTTGTCGGTTCTTGCTGGTGTTGAGTAGAATCCGCTCGCCTGCTGCGTCTGGCTCCTTTGTCCCGGACTCTCTGTGTGAGCGCTCAGGTATGGCCCCGGCTGCAGTCTCAGCCACGACCCTGCCGCCGCCCCGGCTGCTGGCAGGCGCTCAGATGCGTCTTCTTGCCTTGGCTTTCCCTCTCTTGTCTAACTCTCTGTCCTGTGATGGCACACTTGGTGTGATTCTCTGGCTTAGGACTGTTCACTGGAACTCTAAAACTGCTTTCTATGCGAGAGCTTGTTCAGATTCCAGCTTCTCCGCCATCTTCCCGGAACCACCGAACTTTCTTAGCTTTTTATGCTCATCCTCGTGCTCTGCCACTTGAACCTACCTGCACTTTTGGCTTTTTGCTGGTAAACTGGCTATAAAATCTCAGGTAATTCTCTGCTCAGACTAGCTGTGAACTGAGATCCTTAATTCTCAAGCCTCCTGAATAGCTAAGATTATAGGCATAAAAGCCACCAATGCCCAACCTAGAAGTCATTTCTAAAGATTCAAAACGTCAGAATAGAGATAACAATTAAATGAGACCCATTGGTTCTAAATTTTTGAAGCTCATATTTTGACCAGTTCTTTCATCTTCGAGAAAAATAAAAAATAAATCAAACCTTAACAAAAAAGTATGTCACTAGTTTTATTTTTGTCTGGAAGACTCCCAGGGAGTCTTTTTGCCATGAAGGAGGTGTGAAGGCAGCATAAACAATGCACTCATGCGGTATGTCTAATCAAGTGTGAGGCTAGGAGGGAAAACATTTCTGAATAGAGCTGCCTGGGGAAACCTAGGCAATACAGCCCTGTTCCAAGATAGGAAAACCCAAAACATTAGCTGTGGGAATACTACTTATGCCCTGGGGTAGTAATTGCCAGTTTGCTGGCTATATAAGTTTCAGTAATTTACGTAGGGTAATTCAGGAAACAAGATTAACAGGCATGAAATACAGAATTCAGAATAACTTTAAATAATTGGAATATAAGGACAGTTAGTGGCCCAGATGTTCAACTTTTTAAAGGAAGTTCTTTTTAATTAAGAGAAAAACTTTATTGAAGAGGTTGGGCTGTTGGGCTTGAGCTGAGAGTGGAAAAATCTGGACTAGTGAAAGAACACAATGGGCCATTTTTTAGACAGTGGAGGTGTCAGCATTGCATAGTCCATGCAAATAGAAAAAACAAAATTCAATGGTTTTTAAAAGGTAAATAATCCATTGTTTAAAAAGTCAAAGTATCTGAAATGACACTCCTCCAAAGAAGAAATACATATAGCCAGTACACACATACAAATATCTCAACATCACTAGATAACAAGATACTGGCCTTGCATATTAATAACTCTTCCTCTTGTGTCCACCAAACTAGCCCAGAATATCATCATGTCAGCTGCCACATTAATTTACAATGCCACCAACCCAAGTTATTTCCTAAGTCTAAATCTCACTACCAAAGTCCCTGTACCTTCTTCTTTCTTCCTCCCTCCCAACTTTCTTTCTTGGAAGGCAAGGCAAGCTCGAGGAAAGCATGAATTGTTCTCGTCTATGACTTTCCTCAGTCAGGATCATAGCAGGAGCTCAACAGATAGATACATGGTGGATGAATGATTCTTTTAAGAAGTAAGTCAGTATTGAAAATTGTACTAGTCCATGTGTTTAATCAATATCAGATTCCAGGTTCTTGATCATTCCTCATTGCCTTAGAGTATTTACACAAACCTATATTTCATGTAGGTTTTTTTTTAAATACCCAAGTATTTTTTACCCAAGTAAGATCATTACCAGAACTATAAAAAGGTATACAAAGATGCATATAGAATAATTAATTTCTCAGTCACATAGGAAAATGCTTCATTAGTTCAACATCACAATAGTATTAAAATAACAAGATCAAAAGCAATTAAGGTATAATTTATAATAAATTCAGCTATAAATTCTAATAAATTCAGCTATTACCTTAAGCGATGATGATGTGGCTGAATTCTTTTTCGTTGGCTTCTTCAGATGAAAATAGTACAGGGCCATTTCTAGGTAGGAATTTCTTATCAACCTACAATGACATATGATTGTACTTACTGAACAGATTCAGCACCCATGAATTCTTTGCCTCATTTGCAACTATGTCTGAGCTAATAAAGGGTAAGTATAGGAAAAACTAGCATTAATTCCCAACCTACGTTGTAGGTTGTAATTAATTCCCATTCTAGCTTTTGGCTATATACAAGAGAATCTTCTTCCTTAAAATTGGAAGATTTTGAAGATGGCTGAGTATTCTACTATGTCTTGTGCTGGCAACACTATGCTAGACTGCTTTGAAGCGCAGCATGAAGACCTTTCTGAATTATTCCAACAAACAGGTACTAAAGAACAGGTTAAGACTAAAGCAACTATTCTTGGAAATTAGGCAGGCTCTCTCTCTCTCTCTCTCTCTCTTTCTCTGTCCTTTCTCTCCATCCCTTCCTCTATTAATTAAAAAGAGACAGAGTATGTAGTGATCAATGATATGGCATAGATTAGACCTATGTTTCAAAACTGCCAACTGGGGTCACTTGGATCAGTGATATTCCAATAATAGTGGCTCATACTCAATATTGAGGTGATTTTTATGAAGAATTAGGCTTTCTAGTCCTTGTACTGATTTCCAGGGTGCTGTGCACACAAATGCCTTCCACAGACAATTCCACATCCAAGAGGAGAACTTTGGGTTCTAAATCAGTAATCCAGGCAAGGAGGCCCTGAAAACCCCTAGATTGACAGACCTTTTACAGGCCAGAAATGATTCATAGTCCAGTATGTCACTATGATAACAGGTATCATCCACCATTATTGTAAAGGCCTTGGGTCAAAGTCAAGAGCAAGAAGTTTGAAAAGCAAATCAGCAAACCTGATAGACAGATAGATCCCACTACAGGAGCTCTGCCCATTGAGGCCACTCATCCATTCACACTTTGAATATTCCATGTCTTATGAGAACACAGAGGTCACATCAACAACACTGCTACAACACTGTAAAGATATATTTTTTTACCCTGAATTTTGGTCATTTTTCAAGCTTAGTTGTATAGCTTCAAAAAAACTATCTAGTTGTATATTTGGAGATTTGTCTTCCATCAGTATTTGACGCTCTACTTTGCCTGAAAGAAGAAAAATGCATACAAAGATGATTTTTCCTTTTCTTATCACTTAGAACTTAAGAACAAATATCTCATGGCCAACATGGCCATAATAAAATTGTATAAATGTATTACATTAATAGGCATTATAAATAACCAACTATGGTTTATGATATTTAATTTCAATGAATACATCTATTGATAAAAAATTAACCAAACATTAACCAAAACTTTTATGCCATGAGTAATAACATAAAGAAAAAAAATAAGTTCCATTAATTCAGTACCATTATTTATAGTCAAGTGGCTGATACTGACATTTTTTTAGTTAAACATGGAACTTTATACAAGTGTCAATTGTAATTATAAAAGAAACTATCAGTGCCTTTTCTTTCTAGATAGAAATTTAAAAGAAGCAGAGTTCTTTAATCTAAAATCTAGCTTAACAGTGGCATCAATGTGTCTTGTTTAAAAAAAATGTGTCTTGTTACCAAGCCCTTTGTAAAGTTTGTATTTCGTTTATAGTTGAGAAGCTGATTGTTAACAGGAAAAGCCTTATAAGCTGTTTCATAGCTCTGCCCCCACCCCCAAACATGTTACCTTTCTGAAAAAGGATTTCAGCTTCCACCTCACATTCTTCTATGGCGGATACTTTACAGAGCTTCAGTGCTATCTCAAAAAGATGAAGAGCAGGCAACCACTTTGAGAAGTCCTTCTTTCTGTTGGTATAATATACTTGCTTGGCCAATACATGTCCTAAAAGAAAAACAGTGGGATAGGGACAAAACAATGAAATAGGACATGCTCATTGTAAACGTTCAAGTTCCCAGACATTGTTCATGCTCATGGTAACTATCAAGAACTTGGTGGTCTTCACTGCTTTTTATACCTAAGAATTATTTTAATGATTTATCTTTGATAAATTACTGCCATGTTCTCTTGTTTTTTAAAAATAAGAATAGGGACCAGGAGTGTTAGCACCTGCCTGAAATCCTAGCTTCAGAGAAGTACACGTAGAAGTATCACTGTCTCAAACTTGTCCCAGGAAAAAAAGCACAAGATTCTTTCTGAGATCTAACTAAAATGAAAGGAGTGTGGTTAAGTGGTAGACCACTTGCCTAGCAAATGCAAAATAAGTCCAAATTCAAGATAAAGTAAAATAAAATAAAGGCTAGTGACAGGAACAAGGGAAGACAATGGACTGAATATGATAAATGTACATTACATACATGTAAAAGATCTTATAATGAGGCCCATTATTTTGTACAATTAATATATACTGATACAATAGGAAAAATTTTAAGAAGGAAAGATATTCTCCAACATCTCTTCCAGTTTTAAACTCTTATGATAAACTACAAAACAACCTCCATGTTCTTAAGATGAGGTTATTAGTAGAGAAACAGCTGGAGGTTTTATGTTACTTGCAATAAAATTTGCATATATTAGTAGGCAGTAATTTTCTTTCTATTAAATGCTATAGTGGTTGCTTGCTATGCTTTTTTAAAATTATCCATAATCTACCTTTTAACCTAATACAGAAGCTCAAGATAAGGTAATTAATGGGAAAATAATCTTAAATAATGATGATTCTTATTTTTGTATTATAAAAATAAACTTAAAGTGCTTTTTTCTATCAGAGGTTTTCACAAAGAAAAAATTTTAAGTTGTTCTATTTTTATGACTCTATACTACACAGAAAAACTGTCAAGAAAGCAAGTCACAGATGACATGTGCTTCATAATATTGAAGTGCTCCTTTTTCCAGTAAACATCAGCTCTATGAAGAAGTTGTGAAACTGACTTTGTTTTGACAGAAAGGCTGCTTTGGGTTTGTTTTAAAGTCTGTATTTAATATAATATCCCAGAAAGCAAGCTGTTCGGCTTCAAATGAGTCTAAAAAGTAGCAACAGTATTGTCATTGAGTGGTGACACATCTTCAAGATTAGCAAGTCAGAAAAGCAGGGAATACACTTGATGTTACACAATCTGTGCTTTAAGCTCATGTAGAAATCAAAAGTCCTGATGACAGAACAAATTGTAGACTAAAAAAATGCAAAAGAACAGCTTTCACAAGGTTGGTGACGATTATACAACAATGGCCAATTTTAATTATGAAAGCAAGGAGCAGAAAGAAGATAAGGGAAAGATTCTGGAAGAGATGGTAGTTTGAGTGCACTCTTTCTGTCTTCCCTTCCACAATCCAATCCCACCCCCCTCTCCTGAGAAACAGTATAAATATTTGGGTCAAAGATGAGAAAACCTCCTGGAGAGAGCCTGCAAAGATATCTATGAGCTCCAGAGAAGGGCAGTTCTGGCTGTCTGCCTCCTCGGGAGGCCTGACAATAGCATATGTCCTGAGCTAAAGGATGCTGACATTTATTGTTCCTCCTGGTGCCTGAAGAGGAAATTAGACTCTTGAAGGTTGGTACAGAGCCAGTCGCTGAGTTGGAACTGTGACTGATCAGCATTGCCACTGCTGAAGTTAATCCAATATCTGGACCTTAACCATAGTAAGCAAAGTAACACAGTCAAGTAAAGATCTGCAGCCAATAAGAGGAAGAACAAATACAACTTCCAGAGAGGCTGCTTCATATTAGTGAGATAAAACTGATGGAATTTAGAATGACAAAGAAAGAAAAAGAAAAAGCCTACTTAGAAATACAATTTTTTTTTTTGTTTTGGTCGTGGAGCCTGAACTCTGGGCCTGGGCGCTGTCCTTCAGCTATTCAGCTCAAGTCAAGCGCTCTACCACTTGAGCCACAGTGCTACTTCCGGTTTTCTGCTATCCTTCAGCTATTCAGCTCAAGTCGAGCACTCTACCATTTGAACCACAGCGCCACTTCTGGTTTTCTGGTGGTTTATTGGCGATAAGAGTCTCACAGAGTTTCTTGCCTGGGCTGGCCCTGAACCATCATCCTCAGATCTCAGCCTCCTGAATAGCTAGGAGCCACCAGTGCCTAGCTTATTTTTGTTTTTTAAGAGCCTGTTTGCTCCTTCCACCAGTAAGGACCAATAGAAGGCACCATGTATGAAGTAGTCATCTTTACCAGTCACTAAATCTTGGACCAAGGGCTTCCAGTCTCCAAAGAAAGGAGAACTATAGAAATATAATACATTGGGCTGGGAAGGTGGCTCAGTGGTAGAGTGCTTGCCTTGCATGCCTGAGGACCTGGGTTCGATTCCTCAGCACCACATAAGCAAAAAGGAAAAAGCTGGAAATGGCGCTGTGGCTCAAGTGGTAGAGCGCTAGCCTTGAGCTGAAGAGCTGAGGGACAGCGCCCAGGCCCAGAGTTCAGGCCCCACGACCGGACCCAAAAGAAAAAAAAAAAGAAAAAGAAAAAGAAATATATTAAGGTAATTAAGAGATCAGAAAGGATCTCTTAATAGTCCCTGGAAATTTAAAGAGTAAAAGAATAGAAGTTATTAAGACACATATGTCAAATGTGAAGAACAATGCCAAATGCTGTGTAGGGCCCATTTAGGCAAAATTAGACATGCATATACTGGAATTGCAAATAGCTCCTCAGTAACCTCATCAAAAGTAGTGTTTCTCCATTCCAAATCCAGAATGCAGTGTGATAAGAAGCCCGTAGATGATGAGGAAAGAAGAGGGAGGGAAGAATACACATTTAAGAAGTCTGGCTGGCAGAGAGTGTTGGGACTAGCAAGATTTAGGAGTAGGTTGTTTTGTTTTCTTCTGCCTATCCATGTGTATGCTTGAGATTTTACCAGCACGATCCAAATACAGATACACACTAAAAGATTGAGGGAACAGAACATACTGGATAAAGAGCGTAGAAGATGTGAGACTCAGGTGAGAGTGCTGAGGCAAGATCCCCAGTAAAGTGAGAAAAATTGAAAGGTAGAGTAATACCTAAAGTTAGGTTTGTGAAGTGGGAAGACTGCTCCCCTTGTAGGAAGAAGGCAAAATGAGGCTGGAGCTATAACTGTGATGCTTGGAGGAAAATCTCAGCAAACAAACAACAGTACATAGGCAGTGTTTACACTGCCTGGAAACTATAGCAGACACCTGGGTTTAAAATACAATTAGTAGCCAACTCACTATTTAAGCAGTCATTGTACCTTGAATGAACATAAATGATGTGTCTTCATGACATCTTGTTTAACAAAAACATAAAGTGTTTAAACTTTCCATATTTGCAAGGTAAAGGTTTTACAAACAAAATCTTGCAAACAAAGCTGTCTATGGTGATTCAGACCTATAATCCAAGCTACTTGGGAGAGAGGGACAGAAAGAACATGAGTTCACAAGGCCAGCCAGGACAGTTATAAAAAAAATAAAGCCCTACCATAGAAACAATGTACAAGCAAAAGGTCTGAGGCATGGCAAAGAAAAAGACAGCATGCCAAGGTCTTGGGTTCAGTCATTAGTACTACAAAAAATTTTAATTATTAGAGCTTAGAAATAAGTTCAATACTACCTGCATTAAAATATTTATTATTCTTTTTGTTCATGGAAGTTATTTGTGCATGCGTGCCTGTGTGTGTGTGTGTGTGTGTGTGTGTGTGTGTGTGTGTGTGTGTGTGTGTGTGTGTGAGAGAGAGAGAGAGAGAGAGAGAAAGAGAGAGAAAGAGAGAGACTCAGTTTGAACTTGGGGCCTGGTGTTGTCCCTGAGCTTTTGTGCTGAAAGCTAGTACTCTACCACTTGAGCCAGAGCTCCACTTCCAGCTTTTCTGTGTTTAATTGCAGGGAGAACTTCCCTGCCCAAGCTGCCTTCAAACCATGTTCCTTAGATCCTCAGCCTCCTGAGTAACTCGAACTACAGGTGTGGGCCACTAGTCCTGGAAGACGTTAAATATTTTTTTAAGTTTTTAGTACTTTTAAAAGAATACAAATAATCAACAGAACAAAAATTTGGCCTTCTGAATGGACAAACAAGACTGACAAATCTTTAATGAAACTAATGAGAGGTGGGGGAAAGGGATAGGGAGAAAGGAAGAAAAGAGGGGGAGAGAGAAGAAGAGAAAGGAGAGAGAGATGGAGAGATGAAGAGATCAAATTAATAACATTTGAGATGAAAAGTGGTGTATTACAAGAGATACTACCAAAATCCAGAGGAAAATTAAGGAATACTTTGAAAACCTGTATTTCAACAAATTATAAAATCAAGAAGAAATTTATGAATTTCTATACACATATAGCCCATTAAAACTGAAAAAATGATATAAACAACTTAAACAGATAGATTAGAAAAAATGGGACTGAAGGAGTAACAGTCTCCCACAAAGAAAAGCTCAGATCAGATGGATTAATTGCTGAATTCTAACAGACCATTGAAGAACTAACACCAATGCTCTTCAAACTATTCCATAAAATAGGAAGGGAAGGAATGTTATCATACTCACTCTATGATGGCAGTATTGCTCTTGTAACAAGACACAAATCAGAAAACTATAGGCCAATTTCATTAATCAATTTAGATGTAAAAATCCTCAATAAAATACTTGCACAACAAATCTAACAAAACTTCAAACAGATCATGCACCATGAGCAAGTTGGTTTCATCTAAGGAATAAAAAAATAGTTCAACATTCACTAAGTGGAATATAGCACATAAATAGAATTGAAGGGAATAAAATCATATAATCATCTCAATTAAAGCTGAAAAAGCTTTTGAAAAAATTCAACATATTTTCATGGTAAAAACACAGAAGATACTAGGAATAGAAGGATTATACCTTAACATTATAAAGGCTATTTATGAGAATCAGTAGCCACCATTGTACTAAATAGAAGGAAAGTGAAATCATTTCATCTAGTATCAGGAGCAAAACAAGAGTGTTCACTCTCTCCACACTTACTCAGTTACAGTGCTTGAATTCCTAACCAGAGCAATAAGGTAAGAGAAAGAAATAAAAGGGATACTAACAGTAAAGAAAGAGGTTAATATATTCCTATTTTCAGATGATACTGAGATTCTACTTCACCCAGTCAAAAAGTCTAACATTAAGTAAACAAAGAACTAAGGTTGGTAATAATGAAGGGAAAAAGAAACCCATATACTCTGTTGGTGGGGATACAAATTAGTCTAGGCACTATGTAAATCATTATGAAGGTTTCTCAAAACTCTGAAAATAGAACTACCATATGACCCTGCTACATTACTCTTGGAAATACATCTGAAGGAATGTAGGTCAAAGTAAAACAAGCAGACTTATATAGCCACATTTATTAAGAGCACTATTCACAAGAGCAACCCTAAACCTATAGAATTTAAATGTTCAACAATAGATGAATGGATAATGAAAATGTCCTATAAGTACTATTTAGCCATAAAGAATAATAAAATTATTTCCCCTGTCAGAAAATGGATTGAAGATCATTGTATTAAGTGAAATAAGCCAGATTCAGAAAGATACAAATTCATACTGAACAATAAAAGACCCAAAATAGAAAGAAAAGATCCTTAACAGAAAGAACAGTGCTGGAGGAATATCAATACCAAATTTCAAACTCTACTACAAAGCCAAAGTAATCAAAATAGCTTGGTACTAGCACAAGAACAGACCTCAGGACCAATGGAATAGAACTGAAACCCCAGAAATGAACCTGCAGACCTATAGCCACTTAATCTTCAATAAGAGAGCTAAAAAAATAGAATGGAAGAAAGACAGCTTCTTCAGTAAATGGTGCTGGAAAAATTGGTTAGTCACCTGCAGAAAACTAAAGCTATATATCACCCTGCACCAGAATCAACTCCAAATGGATCGAAGACCTCGGAGTCAAAGCAGACACCCTGAAAATATTACAGGACAGAATAAGAGAAACCCTAGGTCTCCTTGTAACAGGCTGAAATTTTCTTAATAGAGACCTAGAAATACAACAAATCAAAGAAAGGTTGGACAAATGGGATTGCAAGAAGCTGCAGAGCTTCTGCATGGCAAAGGACATACCTGGCAAGATCAGTAGAAAGCCCACAGATTGGGAGATCTTCACTAGCCATACAACAGACAAGAGTCTCATATATAAAATATACTTGGAACTCAAAACATTAAATCCCCAACAACAAATCCTCAAAGAAATAACTGTCCAATAAATAAGTGGGCTAAAGACTTAAAGAGAGAGAAAAAAAAAAAAAGACTTAAAGAGAGACTTCTCTGAAGAGTAAATAAGAATGGCCAATAGACACATGAAGAAATGCTCAATCGCTCTAGTCATAAAAGAAATACAAATCAAAACAACATTGAGATACCATCTCACCCCAGTTAGAATGGCTATAATCAAGAACTCTAATAACAACAGATGCTGGAGAGGATGTGGCCAGAAGGGAACCTTACTGCATTGTTGGTGGGAGTGTAAACTTGTTCAACCCCTTTGGACAGCAATATGGAGGCTCCTCAAAAGACTCCACATAGAGCTCCCCTATGACCCAGCAATCCCACTTCTGGGCATTTACCCAAATGATCACAAACAAGGCCATACTAAAGCTACCAGCACAACTGTTTATTGCAGCATTATTTACCATAGTTAAGATATAGAACCAACCCAGATGCCCCTCAGTAGATGAATGGATCAAGAAAATGTGATATATATACACAATGGAATTCTATGCCCCCATCAGAAAGAAAGACATTGCCCTATTTGTTAGGAAATGGAAAGACTTGGAAAAATTATATTAAGTGAAGTAAGCCAGGCCCAAAGAAACATAGGTCCCATGGTTTCCCTTATTTGCAATAACTTATACATGTGTAGGACAAGCAGAAAAGGCCAAAAGCTATGTACATCTGACCATATAAGATGATGTTAAGCAAAATGAATCCCAAGATAGGGACACAAATATCTTTTTTCTTTTTTGCTATTGTTTCTAACGTATTTATAATATACCATGTGATTTTTTCGTTTCTTTATATGTTCCTCCATGACAGTATAACCTCTCTTTTCACTGTATTTGATGTCGGTGCCCTGAATCTTGTATATACACTTCTCTAATTCAGGGAGGGAAAGGGAAAAAACAAAATGCTTAAATAAGGATACAGGTTGATCCATTGTAACAATGAGATGTACAAAACAATATCTTGAAAGCAAACTTTTTACAACTTTGGTGGGGGAGGAAGGGTGGGGTAGTGGTGGAGGTGGGAGGGAAGGGATGGTAGGGGAGAAAACATGAGGCAACAATGCTCAATAGGAAATGTACTCATTACCTTGCTCACGTAACTGTAAGTAATCCCTCTTTACAGCATTTTACAGTAAAAAACATATACCAAAAAAGAAACGTTTGGTTTTGTATTTGTTTTTTTTCTTTAAAGTTGGTGAAATATATAGCAATTTTAAGATAGACTACATAAAAATAACTTCAAATAAATGATTAATCCAGAGCAAATAGCTACACATACTATAATGATAGTAACTGACCTCTTACTTTCCCTAACTATATAGACCATCCAAATATCACAATTTGTTAGAATTGACTGCAACTGTTTGCAATTGATTGCAAACTATTTGTTAATAAATGGACTGAGTATACATAAAAAGTTCCTCTTTGAAATGAACTCATAGGATAGCCTACTAGAAAATAAAGTTTTTTATAGTGATTTTTGGGCACAGCTATGTTTAAATATTCTTACCAATTCTCATTTTTATTTTGGCCAGTAACATGATATGTGGAAGATACATATTTTTCAAAGGTTCTAATGGATTTGCATATTCAGTGCTTGATGAAGGATATTCAATTGTTTCTCCAAAAGTTAACATCTATAAAAGAAAATTGTAATAAGCAATCAGTCTTCACGGTCTGAAATAAGAAAAAAGGCAGAAAAGCAAATTTCTAAATCTTGTATCTCACCTGTTCAATAAGAATGTGGTGAGCCTGCATCAAAAGAAATAATTTGTCTGGTTTTGACGAAGGACTTTCCTTGAATTTCCTAGCTTTTGTTAAGTCATCCAGTAGAACTAGGCTTCCTGCCAGGGTTAACCAAGACCGAGGAGAAATAAACTCATTTCCTTCAAGCAAATGTATTATATCCTATTAAAATGAAATGATTCAGTTTGATAGTGCCTTTTCCAATTCATAGAAACAAGAGCTGGCATGTTCACTGTTATACATTCAGTACCAAATGGGATTTAAAATTCTCTCATGTGGTTCTAACTGGAATATTTCCCAAGAATAAATTGAACAAGGTTTCCTTCCTACCTGAAGATTTCTTATAATGTCTGCTTTTAAATGCTTTTCTTGTAGGCCCAGCATCACAGCTTGCATTAAGAATTCAGCCTCTAACTCTTTGTTGCCTGCATTTTTTGCTTCCATGCACACTTCATTGATGAGGCTCATACAATCTGTCATGTCATTTTCTAAAGAAAAAAAAGCATGATTATTTAAGATGCATTTAGAAATAAGATAGCATGTGTACATGGTATCTCTCCAGTGTTTACTGTAGGTAGATTGTCTAAGGTCAAAAAGCAAAAGGACATTAGAATAAAAAAAATAGACTTGACATGACACACAGAAAAGAAGTGTGTTTAATTCAAAGTGAAGTTTTTTAGGATATTCCAATGTTGTATGAGTAGTAATATTACATGAAATAATTTAATTTAGGAGCTGAATGGAGATGAGTAAATAGCTATACAAATAGGAAAGTATGGGACTGCGAATGTGGCTTAGTGAGAAGAGTGCTTGCCTCATATGTATGAAGCCCTAGGTTTGATTCCTCACATAAATAGAAAAAGCCAGAAGTGGCCCTGTGACTCAAGTGGTAGAGCGCTAGCCTTGAGCAAAAGCAGCTCAGGAACAATGCCCAGATCCCAAGTACAAACCCCAGGACTGGAAAAAAAAAAAAACAAATAGGAAATTATTACTGCAAAAACTATCATTTATATGTGCCAAGGAATTATCTAAAAGTATTAACTCATTTGCTTCTGATAATCATAGGAAGTAGGAACCGCTACCTCTGTTTTCCAGATTAGGAAATTGAGGCACAGCGGGATGGAAAGACTGGCTAAAAAAGAAAGACTTGACAAGGAAGTAGCCAATTCAGCATTTGAACTCACATTGCAGGCCCCAAATCAACACTCTTGCCCTATATAATTGGCTACCTTCCTAAAAGATAGGAGACCTGGAACGGTTATAATCACTTTGCTGTCTATCAGTGCTAATACAAACAATGCTAGAAATGTTTATTCTTATTTTAACAACCTGAATTTTTAATTCTGGATACAGTAGGAAGTTATCCAACATAAACATTACAATTGAATAATTCCCAATAAAATTCTCGTTACCAACAAAAGTTTATTATGAATACACAAGAAAACAGACACTCGTACCTTTCACAACTCCAATGCCGCGAATCTGGGCAACAAATGCAGTCACCAGGGCTAAGCGGCACCTCAACCACAGATGGATGTTGAAATGTTCTCGAGCATTCAGGGAAACAGGATCTAAAAACTCATTCTCATCTTCATTCTCTGTGACCTAAGCAGTATTAAAGTAATGAGGTTATCTTCTCATTTAATTATGTCAAATTTCTAGCCTAAGGCTAGACACAAGGTAAGAGAAACATTGGTATTATTTTATAGTATGAAATTTTTATTATAGATATTATTCTTACATCCTCTAAAATAAATATTAAACAAATAAATAAAATCACCCACTATTCTCCAAAACTCGATTAATATTTCATACTGCTTTTCAGCTTTGCTTTTCTTTCCATACAGATTGTTAAAACTAGTTTTGTAGTTCGATTTTTGTGCAAATTATATTATTGGAAGTTTTTATGACATTAAATTTTGTAAATATAACTCTGTAAATATAACTTAGGGGATGAAAATAATAAATAATAATCAACAATCTTTACTGAGTGCTCATTATGTGCCAGGCACTTTGCTACATGCTTTATCCACAGCCCTTTTAGCCTTCCTAACAGGAAAAGAGGGTTATTATTTCCATTTTTCAGCATGGAGAACTGAGACTAAAGAGGATAACCATCTTGTTTAAACTAATCATATTTTGGCAGAGCAGGGACTTTAACTTGCTTCCACCTGAGTTTCAAGTTTACTGTGTTATATTTCAAATATGTATCACGACTTTTACCATGCTCATTACTAAACTTTACAAAGTAGATAAAAGTCTAGAGCTACTGGGAAGGTAATACAGAAGAAGCTTTCTCTAAGGGAGGTCAACTGGCTCTTGGGAACTTCAAAGCCAACCAGAACAAACCTAATTTTTCTAGAATTTCTTGCTATGTGTCTCTGGAAGCTCATCAGGTCCAATCAATCAGCAATGCCTGTCTGTGTAGGAACAGATTACTAGGGACTAACAGATGGACAAAAGTGAAACGTACAGGAAAAGGATGCTGTTCTGGGAATGAAAGTACACGTACTTTCATAATTAGAATGTGCCAAGTGCTTGAGAAGTCTAGTATTTAGTTAAAACTACAGAAAAAATGCCCATCAATAAAAAATCTGTCCAAATGTACATTTTTGGCAACTAATGAAAAGCCAATCCCACCTCATCTCAGGATTTCTCAAACTTAGAGCTCGTCTGCCATTTTCAGCCAGATAATTGCTGGGTGGAGGCTCTATTCCACATTATAAGATGTTCAACAGCATCACTGGCCTCTATCCAGTAAGTGCCAGAGGCACCCGTTCTAGTTGTGACAACCAAAATGTCTCCAGACATTGCCAAAATGTCCCGAGAGGTAAAATTACTTCCACTGACAATAGCTATTTTAAGTCTATTTTCTGAATTAGATTGCTTTTTAGTATTGTTATTACTTTTAATATAGTTAGAAATGAGTCTCTATTTAGAAAAAAATCATTTTGCTAATTTGTAATGGTGCTGGATATTAGAAATTTCATTAGTAATTCTTGAAGTAATGAGCAAGGATTCTATGGGATGAATCTTTTTATATTATAATCTTAATAAATCTTATATTGTTAAAATAAGTAGTCTTATCAAAGTGCAATCATGGAATGTGTACCCAGTTCACAAATCCAAAGTAAGAAATAACTCAGGTATCTTATTGGCAATGGCTGGGTAATAAATTCAAAGTGAATGTAGAATGAGACTTGGGAGACAATGCTATTTGCAATGACAACATAGCTAGACTTTCTACAATGACATATCTTGATGATTATTACATACAATTGTGTCAGGTCACAAATGAGACTACAAAAAAAGAAGAGATTTTTTTTCTCAAAGTATTTTAGTCAATAAGTAGCATCAGTGGGATTGAAACACACATTTTTCCCCAATTTCCCTGTTTTTACTACTTTATTATCATCTAAATAATTATTAATTACATAGTATGCCAAGTTATTACATCATATGTATTTGATGAAGAAATAAACTTTTATGGATAAAAGTTAAAATTTTATACATACAGAATCTGATGAAGAGACAGGAGTCTCTTTGTTATCATCTACTGCCTTCTTTTTAAAAAGTTTAGAATCTTGGAGAAGGTTAAGTGTGGAGTACAGTATTGCAGCACTAAAATTGAGAAAATATGTTAGATGTTATTGGCATGCTTGTAATATTTATTTGTTCTTTCCTAAGTCTATTCTTCCTAGAAACTTCCCACACCCACAACTATTCTCAAAAGGAAAGTAGGTGCTGCTTATACATGGATTAACGGCACTCTGGTTTTACCAGATATTTATCAGACTGACTTAATTAGCACAATGCACAGGTCTACAGCTAATTCGTTTTACTCCCCATTGAACCTCTCCATCTAGTAGAGTGGGACCTAATAGAAAATATTTTTAAATTTGTTTTATTCTATTTTGTGTCAGTACTGGGTGCTGTCCCTTACCTTTTGCTTTCAAGACTGGTGCCTCACCATTTGAGCCAAAATTCCACTACCAGCATTCTGGGAGGTTATTTCAAGATAAGAGTCTCAAATAGTTTCATGCCTGAAATCTCAGCCTCCTGAGTATCAAGGATTACAGACATGGGATACTAGTGCCCAAGCAGAAAGTATTTTAAATGAAAACAAGAGAGCAAAAGAAAACAAGTGAAATGAAAGAATAAGTAAGCCAGAAGCTTGGCTTGGTGGCCAAGTACCTGCCTTGCAAGAGTAAGGACCTGAGTTTAAACACTAGTACTGTCAAAAAAAAAAAAAAGGAAGACATTAATAAATGTTTCCAAGGGCTAAAATCAAATTTACTGAAAACTTCATTCATAAAATAAGCAGATCAGAATTTATATGCATTAGAATGTAGTCCTCCAGACCTATGTTGATTAATCTTGTACCCTTGGAAACTCTTCAGCTGAATTACTGCTGATTCAGAATCTGCAAGAGCCAGAAAGTAAATGTACCTGTTCAGAAGTTAGGAGACATAATTATTTTTACTTCCTGATGTTGCATTCATATATTTGCCCCTCTTTTTATAAAGCCACTAATCCCATCATTAAAGCCTCTCTTTCATAAGCCCATCAAAACCCAATTACTTCCCAAAGGCCAAATCTCTAAATATTAATAAAAGCATATGCCTTTGGAGATTCAGCTTTGACCACTTGGATTCTATGGGACATTCAAACCATAGTAGGTGCATAGTAGAAAATTTCTAGTTTCTCGCTACTCTTGAGTGTACAGAGGATTACCCACGGCTAACAGTCTAAAACCTCAAAGAGAGTTTCATTATGATATAAAATTGAAAGGCTCAGAATTTCTGATTTAGATAATAAATTAAATGTAAAGGAGAATGAGAAGAAACATTTTTTAAAGTCTGGATTCTAAAAGAGACAGCCCAGAAAGTATTAGATATACCATATGAATAACTTTGATCTCATTTATTTCTTATTAACATTCATGACAAAAATGGTCAGTTTGTTCTCATAAAATCCATGCAGCTCACTCTACCTGTCACCCCAGGGAATGTGCCTTTCAATTTCTTTGACACATAATTTTATTAGAAGTATCAGGAAATGTCAAGCTAACCATCATTTGGAAAAGGGATTGTCCAACACTCTCAGCAGTGCCCAAACAAAAGCTCATGGGGGGTAAAGTTCACAGAAGAAAAACTCATTCATCTTGACAGTAGGTTTCTCCCCAATGACAACTCTGCACCAGAAAGGCAGGAACATCAAAGTTTCTGCAGGTTCTGTCCCTAGGGCCAGGTTCACATATTAAAATAGGAGTGATTCTAATATGCTTGTGCATTATTTGCATATGTCTACCTAGTCTTTAAATTAAAAGTTCTATTATGACAATCCTTTTTGAAGCCATTTTGTAAGTTTTAGTTTCTCAAATCTTTTTACTTCCTCAAATAAAAATCAGTCATATCCTCCATAACATAAAGGTATAAGACACCATAAGACAGCAGGAGAAAGAATGAAGGCCAGTGTGTGTGTGTGTGTGTGTGTGTGTGTGTGTGTGTGTGTGTGTGTGTGTGTGTGTGTGTGTGTGTGTGTGTGTGTGTGTGTGTGTGTGTGTGTGTGTGTGTGTGTGTGTGTGTGTGTGTGTGTGTGTGTGTGTGTTTTCTTGGGATATTGTGGCTGTCTTATAGAGAGTTTGGAGAAAGAGTTCAATAGGAAATCATATATTTAACGTTCTTTCTTCAAACTTCAGTGGAGAGGAAGAGTACACTATTAAAAGTAAGTCAAGCACTGATTGTTGATACATTATTCTAGCTAAAATCTGAGGATTGTGGTTCAAAGTCAACTCATTAGGAAAATATGTGACTTATATCTCCAATTACCAAAAGACTGGAAGCAGAACTGTGGCTCAAGTAGTAGAAAACCAGCCTTGAGCAAAAAAACCTAAGTGATAGTGCCCAGGCCATGAGTTCAAGCCCCACTACAGTCACACAAAAAAGTATTTTATTAGTATTACTCTAAGCCTATTTTAACATTAATAGATTATCATTGTAACCTTAAAGATAGCTATGAATGTCACAAAACTGTAAACTAATATGGCTCAAGATTTTTCTCAGTACCCCTTTCCAAACCTAAAAATTATACCCAGATAATGTCACTAGCAGACTTAGAAAACACAAAAACTGAAAGTTCCTCCCAAAGTGATATGGTCTTGAGTGTAAAATCAGATTTAGATGTGGCTAATTACAGGACAGCTCTCAAAAACACATGTATATCACCTATAACAAAAGTATACGAGGTTAGCTGAGCACATAATGAGGCTTCTCATGAAGAGCAGGACAAGCTCCCAGAAGATTAGACATGTCTTCAGAGAACAAAGAAAGGAGACTGGCTTTGAGTATTATGGTGATTACTGGGTGGCCTCCAGTAAGAGATCCTACACTTGGGCTACTAAACAGAAGATTAACAGGGATTTCTTATCTGCTTGCCCCTGGTATAAGTAGAAGAAAAGAGTGGTAGAATCTGAAGGTTATCTGCCACTGAACATACTCTTTATTATAACCACACATTTTATGATGGTAACACTACCACATTCCCCTCACCTTTCATCCTGAGAGCCTTCACAGCACTTACCATTTCTGAACATATTATATACTGACTTACTATTCTCAGAGTTTCTTATCAGCTTGCTTATTATCTACTAGAGAAACAAACTTCAAGAGAATAAGACTTTTGTCTGAATTATTATACTCTTTATGTGACCATCATGACACTAATCTATCCCAAGAGCTTAAAATAGTGTCTAATATATTTTAAGTACTCAAAATTATTTTAGTGAATTAATAAGAAATATGTATTATTCTGTGGATGATTAGTGTATGTGTCAGAAGACCTCATAATGAAATGTTTAGATAAAGGAACTAAATTCTATTTATCTTTGTATCCTCATTTTTATATCAGAGGCAGGTAGTAAAAGATAATGAGAAAACAAAGGAATCAGAAAACAAGTTAAACAAAACAGAATCTAACACTAACTGTATTTAAAAGATGTTACTTTTCAAAATACAGTTGCTTTTTCATATTTTTACTTGATGCTTAAGAATTCTCTTAAGGTTTTATTTGTAAGAAGCAACAAGGGAGTTAGGTTTGGTCCTTTAAAAAGCAAATTAATTCAAAACCAAATGCTATTAGTTTGTTCGCTCTATATATGACATTAAACGTCCTAGTCAGGTACTTTAATAAGGCTACTTTGTTGCTGAGAACTAGTTTTTGGTGTAATAATGTAAGAAAAATCCCTTGGATAAGAAAAAAAAAAGCAAGTAGGCCCAAAATGGTTTTGGAAATTTTGAAAAGTTACATAAAATTTGAGTCTATTCAAGTATATTTAGTGAATTAGGAAAAATAATTTCCCAACAAGCGCCAAGAGAGACAGAGAGAGAGAGAGAGACAGACAGATAGACAGACAGACAGACAGACAGACAGACAGACAGAGACAGAGAGACAGAGGCAGAGCCAAAGAGACAGAGCCAAAGAGACAGAGCCAAAGAGACAGACAGAGACAGTGACAGAGAGCCTACTTGTCTTTCTTGGTGAGGAAAACTGTCTAACTGTGAATCTTGTGTGCAAGAGCAGACACACCTGTATGCTGCACGATGTCTCTGCAGGGAAATTTCTGCCAGCTGAAGTCTGGACTCCACTACAATCTCCAACTCACCAGCAGAACACTGGGTGAGGTTCTTATAGACTGTATTCTCCATCTCAGATACGAGGAAGTTTAGCCTGTCTTCAGCCTCCATCAGTAACATTGCCTAAAGAAAGGACATCTCACAATTATACCAATCTTATCAGATATTTTTCATGTACTGAAAATCAACAGAAAATTCAAGATTAAAAAGCAATTTTATACCTAATCATCAGAGAAGAGAACACAATAAACAAGAAAAAGACAACAGAAAATGAGACGGTAACAGCAAGTAAATGCATGGACAACAGTTATCCTGTAGTGAGTCAACCAGTACTCATTATTCACAGTAGTTGAGTAAAGTGCTATAAAGCTGTCATAAACACTGATTAGTGAACACTAAACCATTGCTCCTAGTAGAAACATAGAGATGTCTCTGTGAGCCTCTGGGCACATTTTCAACAATTGATCAAAACCCTACCTTGTTTAATGTGTGTTCATAGTTAAGGACTTATTATCTAATGTATAATGTTGACTTATTAACCCTGAACTCACAGTCACTAAAACTGTGACTGAGGTATAAATAAGGTGTACAACTGTAAACTGAGGTGTTTTGCTTTGTAAGGCTCAACACAACTTTCTTGCTCCTAGAAACCCTAGACAGCACTTCAACATGGAGGTTCTTTTAAATAGTGAAGTCATCAACAAAAAAGTACAAAAACATAGTACAGACTGAGCATTAAAAATGGAAATATCTAGGGCTAGGAATGTGGCTTAGTGGTAGAGTGCTTGCCTAACATGCATGAAGCCCTAGGTTCCATTCCTCAGTACCACATAAATAGAAAAGCTGGAAGTAGTGTTGTGGCTCAAGTGGTAGAGTGCTAGCCTTGAGCAAAAGAAGCTCAGGGACAGTGCCCAGACCTTAAATTCAAGCCCCATGACTGGCAAAAAAAATGCAAAATCTGCTTTGAGCACCTGCATGACACTCAAAAAGTTTCAGACTCTGGAGTCAGACATGGCAGTGTGCACTTGAAATATCAGCCGCCAACAAGGCAGTGGCAGACACATTGCCAACACCAGCAAAGTTACTTATACACAGGCTCCAAAAACAAAATATAACAAAAAGGACTAAAGGCATAGCTCAAGTGGTAAATTGCTTGCCTCATGTGGGTGAAGTACTTGGTTCAAAAGCCCCAGTATAGGGGAGAGGGAGAGTTTCAGGTACTGAAACATTTCCGATTTTGGATTATCAGAGGAAGGAGGTGTGGTACTGGGATTTGAACTCAGGGACTTAAGCTTTCAAGGCAAGTGCTCTACCATTTGAGCCATACTCCTATCTACAATTTTTTTTTTTTACTTTGTCAACTTTTTTTTTAATTGTGAGAACACTGTACAGAGGAGTTACAATTACATGGGCAAGATAATGAGTACATTTCTTATCAAGCATTGTTGCCTCCTCTGTTTCCCCTTCCCATCCCTTCCCATACTTCTTCCTCCCCCAACCTGGTCCTCCCTCCACCCCCCCACCAAAGTTGTAAAGTTCGACATAACAACTTGTACATCTCATTGTTGCAATGGGTCCACCTGTATCCCTAGTTAAACGATTTGTTTTTCCTTCCCCTCCACAAATTATACCAACATCAAACACAGTGAAAGCATGGGTTATACCGTGGGGGAGGGACATACAAAGTAACAAAGAAATCATCTTATAAATATGTTAGAAACAATTGCATGAAAGGGAAAAAAAACAAAAAATTTTTGAATACTTATCTTGGGGTTCATTCCCCTAACATAAACTTATCTGTGGATAGTTGAATTAGGGCTGCTTGACTGGCAAAGTCTATAAAACTCTAAAATCTGAACCTCTTCTGTTATCAAATATTTCTAACCTATATGAAACAGACCAAGAGAGTATAGAAAGGAACACCTGCTGACAGTATGAGAACTGAAACCTTGCTTGGCAGTGTACACTCTGGGCATGTTATTCTATGCTGTAAGCATGTCCATGAATGATCAAAAAAGTATCATAACTATTAATTATGAGGTGGTAAATTCTAGCAGATTTACAAATTAGCAAACAGAATCTGTAAATAATGAGGAAAACCTGACTTTTAAATTAAACCATGGCTATCCAACTGATAAAGATAATGAAACATTTTATAGTAGATAACTAGTAGTAAGTAGCAATTTGTCAAAGCAGATGATAAAAAGAAGCAGCCAATCTTTCAAGCAACAGGTCTCTAAAACTTGCTGGTATAGAGAAAGAAAGATCACATAAATCTTAAAGCAATTTACATAATTAGTAAGAGCAAATATTTTAAGTCAAAAAACATAGGTCTTATTCCCAGATCCATATTTTCTTACTTTTGTGGCATTTCAAAAACTACTTAAGCCTCACTTTTCTCATGATTCAGCATAGCATAGTTCAGAAATTTTTAGTTCCTACATCATTAAGCTGTGCAAAATAAATAAAGCTTGCAAGCTACCTTTCACATGGTAAGCACGGAATAAATGGGAATTGATGCTGCTAATGTTCTCATCACTATGATTAGGAAATAAGAGAGGGGACCTCAAACAATAAATCTCATCTGCAGCTGCACTTTTCAGGTTGCAAAGTCAAACTCTGATGCCCCTGGGCAGATTCATGCTTTATGCAAGAAACTCTATCTGGTCTCCCAAGATCAAGCACTACTTTGAAAATGAGCCTCTTCAGGACCTAAAAGTGAGCATTTTGATAACTGATTGACTATGATTTGAACTTTTTTTTCAGACTTACCTTAAGTGTGCTGAGAGTAACTTCCTCTTTAAATTTTATAAATTGATAAACAGAAGTTCCATTATCCCTTGATAATAATGAATCTGCTGTAAAGACCAAAGATATCTATGGTTAGTTTAAATAATAATGATAATTTAAAAAATTCAAACAAGTGCTCATTAGAAACATCTCCATATCAAATAGTCCTAAATATCATGTATTAGAATAGTGAGGCTTGTTCTTATGACAAATCAGACAATTCTGAAGTGATCCTTTGTACATTCAATGATGTTAAAGTTTCTAGCTACTCTGGGGTCCCAGAACAACATAAGGCCTCAAAGCATTTTGAAACTTCCAGAAATTCTCACATTTCCGTAAGATATGTGAAGAGAACAGACTTGGACTGAGATAGTCTACTGTAGGATGTGTAGAATAGAAATTACTATTGCTTGAGTATTTCTTATGCCCATGAAAACACTGGTGGAAGGCCTCAGGTCTGACTGCACATCCAGCAGTCCACAGGCTCAGCTCTAGGTGGCTCCTATAGTCACTATGCCCAGGGTCAGCACACAGAGCTCACTGGTATGAAGATAGCCCTGGATGGGCCATTGGCCCACAAGGAAATCAACACAGGACTTGGTCTCCATAATGACCTAGTAGGTTTGACCTATTTAATGGGAATACACTTGTTCACACCTGGTGAATTCCAAAAACAGAAGCCTGCAAAGGAAAGACATCTCCACTTCTTCAACAAAGAGCAACTTTTCACATTTAAAATTTTTGTTTGAATTCATTTTATTGTGTTTTCCCCCTCAGTATTTTTCTTTATACATCTGTATCTAAATGTTACTTTATCTTTTAAATTAGTTTATTTGGATCATTTCTCTGTAATACTTTCTTAATCTTTTCTAATATTAATTCTTATCTTTTTAGTCTATTCCATATTATCCTTCCACTCTATCTTTATGGTCATTGGTGTTTTAGGTATTGATTTCCATTTGTTTGTTGTTCACTGGCAGTACTGGGGTTTGAACTGGGAGTCTTATGCTTGCTAGTCAAGAGTTCTACAACTCAAGCTATACCTCAACCATTTTTTTTTGTTTTATCAGATAATGTCCTATGTCTTTACCTGGAGGCAGCCACAAGCACAATGACACTTTCCACACATGCCACTATGCCCAAGTTGTTGGTTAAGAAGACTTGCTAAATTTTGACCAGATGGGGAACCATGATATCTCCACTCTAAAACCAAACTAGCTGGGATTTCAGGTATGTGCCATGATGCCCATGACAAATAGGTAGTACTAGAGTTTGAACTCAAGGCCTTGCACTTACTAGACAGGAATTCTGCCCTTGAACCACACTCATAGCCCTTTTGTGCACTGGCTATTTTTGAGATAGATTATTACTTCCTGCTGGTCTATGATATGCCTATTTTAGAGTGCCCATTCCCAGCTTCTTCTGCTGAGATAGGGATTTTTACATTTTTCTTGCCAATCTGGCCTGGAACTATGATTCTCCAGATCTCAGCCTCCTGTATATCTAGGATACATAGTCAGACACACCACTGTGACCAGCTATGTGTTTAAAAGAGGTTTCACAAAGTTCTCTATTGAGGCTAGCCTCAAGTTTCAGTCATCCCAATTTTAGCCTCCTAAGTTTACTGGTATAGGCCACCAGGACCTAGCTGATACTATTAGTTCAAATACATTTTAATTGTATGTTTATAACTGCATTACTTTAAAGTTATTAATATTACTGTCTGCTGTGTTTTCCTCCCCAAATTATGCTGGGGATCTAGCCTAACACTTTGAAAATATGGTATGGATGCTGTGATGCTAAGAAACAGCCAATCCCAGTGGAGAGAAATTGCACCTTACTTCATGCACCACCTAGTTACACTCAAACTTAGTTGGAGACTACAACATAAAGAACAGCGTAGGAAAAAGTCCCCACCTGATGTCTCAGCCCCAGTGTGGCGTAGATAGGCAGCCTGCAGACCCATTTCTGAACATTTACCCACTAACAACAGAAGAAAGACATAACACAACTAGTATAGTAACTACAAAGACACTAGTATAAGCCACTCCAAATTTGCACATTACAGTGTTGACAAGTCTGAAGGAATAATTCCAGAGAATGTATCTCATATACTTGAATATCTACAACCTATTTGCCTGAACTACTAGAGGGAACCAACTTATGAAATCTTATCAAGAAAGCAGGTCTCTCAACATAGTACGCACAGAATCAAAGCCCATTAAATATAGTTCAAGAAGCCAAAGGGAAGCCACAGTACACAGTCAAGTTATAATTAAATTTAACATTATATGGAAAACCAATTTATACAAATATATATACAAATATAGCTTATACCATAAGGAAAGCTATATTTAAAGAAGAGATACCCATTTCAAGAGATCACAAATCTCAATAAATATGAAATAACAAGGGAATATAACCTACAAAGTGCATAACTCTCTAGTAAGAGACACAAAAGACATTGATTCTCATGGGATGCCAGATAAAGAATTTAGAAAGTATATTTTAAAAAAGACTATGCTTGGTATAGTGGCTTATGCCTGTAATTCCAGATATATGGGAAACTATAAGTAGAAAGACTGAAGTCCAAAAGTGGTCCTGGGTAACAAACTAAAGACACAATCTGAAAAATAATGAAAGCTAAAAGAGGCTGGAAAGTGTGGCTTAAGGAGCATGGTACATGCCTAGCAAGTACAAGCCTAAGTTCAAACCTCAACATCTGAAGTGAAGTTAAAAAAATCAATGACCTCACAAAAATACAAAAAGAACAAAAAAACTGAATTAACTAAGGTAAGGAAGATCTAAGATATTCATGAGAATTCAAGAAAGATACAAAGAAAAAAAGAACCAAACAGAAATCATAGTAGGAAAATCTCAATAAATCAAATTTAAAAACTCAGTTGAAAGTCTTAGTAGACTTTATTTGACCAAGAATATCAGATCTTGATGACAAGGTTGTTGAATTATCACATTCAGAGGTTAATAAAGAAAACAAGAAATTATGACAAGAACACGAAAGATTATTGGGACAAGAATGAGATTTAGCATACCTGAATAGGGATAAAACTTATACTATTAAACAGAGGCTAATGCTAGTCTGGTATCAAAACTAGAAAGACACACCAGAATAGAAAACTATAGATCAATGCCTCTTATGAAAATGAATGCAAAAATCTTCAGTAGTAATAGAACCTAACAAGTGAAAATACATACATTCTAAGTAAGATTTATTATAAGAATGCAAAGTTGATTAAACACACAAATCTAATGTATTTACTACCCCATACCAATAGGGTGAAAAATAAAAACACATAATCATTCCAGTAGATGCAAAGTAAAATATTTTGCACAATTCCATACTCTTTCAGGATAAAATCATTCTAGAAAGTAAGAATAGAAGAGATATTTCTCAATTGACTAGGGAATGTCTCTTTAAAAGAAAAAAACAGGAGCTCAGTAGTAGAGTGCTTGCCTTGCATGCTTGAGGCCCTGGATTCAATTCCTCAGAACCACATAAACAGAAAAAGCTGGAAGTGGTGCTGTGGCTCAAGAGGTAGAACACTTGAGCTGAAGAGCTGATGGATAACACCCAGGCTCAGAGTTTAAGCTCCATGACAAGAAAGAAAGAAAGGAAGGAAGAAAGGAAGAAAGAAAAAAAACACAGCATGACAGAAAACATCTATTTTTAAGAGAGTATTTGAAGAATGCATATACACAATGACTAGTAGGTGAAATTTATGGTACCTATCACAAGGGTATCTACCACATAGATATATACACTATGTCATGTGACTATGTAGCAGTGCAGCACAATTTCTTGGAAGTAAAGTGAGTATCAATAGTGGCATGTCAAATCAAACATGGAACATTCACAACATGGATAACCAGAACAAAGAAATTGCTTTGGAGTGGTTTCAGTGAATATATCTGATTAGAAATAAAAATTGCAGAAATATAAACTGCTCTATAAAAAAATGACAAATCCTATTGACTATATCCATATAGATACATGTATGATTATGGATATATATATGATGGATATGCATATGGGTATACCTACAAGTGTGTAATATGTGCATAATATAAAGTTAAGAATATATAAGAAGAGAGAGCAGACAATTAACAACAGAGACAGAACCAGAGAGACATTGACAGAGAGAAATAAGATAATATAGTTAATCAATTATTAATAAGCTAGTCATTTATTAAGGGAAAAAAGATTAAAAGTACTAAGAAGGCAGGGGGAACTTGGTGGTTTAGACACACAGGGTTCTTTTCTGTGATCATAAATCTGAAAGTAAATAGCTAGGGTATGGTTATAGGATGAAGTGACATAGAAAACTAAGGCAGGACAACAGTAAATAGTAGGTGAAATTCATCAATATTGAACTTTAGATCTATAGAATAAATAATGGTCCCTAATACAGACTTCTAAAATATAGTAAGGAAGGGGAAGAATTCTAGGAGTGGTGATTGCTTGGATCAGATTCATGGGCACAGATCTACTTGGGTGGAAACTCTGAGCATGAGAAGCATTGCAGAAGAAAGCTCTAGCCTTAACTGTGGTAAGAGGAGAGAAACCATTATGTGTGAATAAGAGTAAGGAATGCCAGGACACAGCATATGAGACCAGGGAACAGGATCTGTGAGAGCCCTGTGACTTACCTGTCAGAGAATGCTTTCGTTTGGCAGCTTTGTAAATATCCAGGGAGCCAGAAAGATTCATGCTCAGCTGGTGGAAGCAGTTTGAGGCAGTTCCTGCGTAAAAATTTAACACAGCAGTGAGGAGAGGACAATGCTCATCCTACAGACAGCCCTTTCTGCTCTAACTTGTTTGGCTTCAGACAGAAAAGCATCTGTGACCCCCCGCCCTACACATAAAGTAAATACAAAGTATAAGACAAGTTTGGAAGGGGAATACCCATCTTCTTCCAGAAGGTAATACATGTATGTATGTATGTATGTATGTATGTATGTGTGGGGGTATATATACATATATGTATGCATGTGTGTATATGTATTTATATATGGTGGTACTAGGGGTTTAGGCCAGGGCTGTGGATTTGCTAGGTAGGTACTCTATCACTTCAGGCATTCCTCCAGCCTATTTTTCTCTCCCTGTTTTTAAGATAGAGTCTCATTTTTGCCCAAGGACCTGGACTACAATCCACCTATTTATGCTTCTCACTGTCACTGGAATAATAGGCATCCCTTTTTGTTGAGATGGTGTTTAGTGTACTTCTTGTCTGGGCTGGCGTTGAACCACAGTCATCCTGATCTCTGTCTCCCAAGTAGCTAGGATTACAGGCATAAACCACTAGCATAGAGCCTTTCCTCACTATTATTTCTTATGTCTTCATCTCATATAATTTTCTTTACTGATATTGCTGCTTGTTCCTCTTTTCTTTTCCCTATCCCCTTTCTTTTCACTACTTAACTATTAATACTTTTAGCTTTAATAATTTCTAAACTCATTAGTTTATCCTGTAAGTATACTATTCTTTTCACTTCAAAGCTTATTTGGTGTGCAGTTGATGTTTCCAATTGAGTTTTACTACATTTAAAATATCCTGTTTGTTTTTTAATTGTTGTCTTTGTTATTTCTATCTGCTTTCTCTCCTGTAAGCAGTTGTGAAAAATCACTACTAGGAATAAACCCATAAATAAAATTTTTAAAAAGGGAGAAACAAAAAATATTCATTCCAATAGATGTACATACAGCAACATACAAGCCTAAGAAACGGGAAAAGAAAGGCAATATGACAACTCCAAAAGCTTACAATTATTCCTTATCAGAATCCATAGACATCAAAGTGTTGAAAATGTTTTTTGTTTGTTTGTCAGTCACGGGGCTTGAACTCTGGGCTTGGGCGCTATCCCTCAGCTCTTCAGCTCAAGGCTAGCGCTCTACCACTTGAGCCACAAAACCACTTCCAGTTTTCTGAATGTTTTATTGGAGATAAGAGTCTCACAGCCTTTCCTGCCTGGGCGGGCTTTGAACCGAGATCCTCAGACCTCAGCCTCCTGAGTAGCTAGGATTACAGGCGTGAGGCACCGGCATGGTGAAATGTTTGTTTTAAAGAGAAGAATCCAAAGTCTTGTTCTAAAAGTGATCAATGACCTCAACAAAAATTTAGATAAACAAATGTGAAAAACAGCAACATTGGTGAGGAAATCATCTAGACAATTTAAATTTTAGGGAGGATAAATGGAAATGTTCTAAATGAAAAACGATCTGTCAAACAAGGTGGAAAGCCTCAGTTAAGACTAGACACAGTTTTAAAAAAAAGTATTAGGAACTGAAGCTAGGTGAGGAATTTTATATAATCATGAGAGCCCCCATTAAAAATTAGAGAGATCTCAAAAAACAATCTAATGAGTATCTCAAAGTTTCAGAAAAACAAGAATAACCAAGCTCAAAATCAGTAGATGAAAAAGAAAAAACAAAGATCAGAACATATATTAATGAAATAGCCTAAAAAATGACTGGAAAAAAATGAAACAGAGTTGATTTTGAAAAAATTTTTTAAAATCTTACCTAAACTAATCAAAAGAGAAAACTATAATGATGAATAAAAGTAGAGATAAGAAAGGAAATAATACAATAGATATCAATGACATTCACAACATTGAACTAAAATAGAGGATCCAGAAAGAAATTTATACTTCAATCAGCTGATTCTCCATAAAAATACCAAAGACATACACTGGAGGGGAAAAAAAAGCCTCTTTAACAAGCCATTCTAGGAAAACTAGCTACCCATTTGTATAAGACTGAAACTAGATCTCTAACTTGATCCCTAACTAGATCCCTAGATCTCATTTACCTAAATCATTTCAAGAGGATCAAAATCCTTAATGTAATACCTGAAACTATAAAACTACTAGCAATAAACAAGGGAAACACCTGAAGAGACAGGTATAGTCAGCAACTTTCTGAATACTACTTCAATAGCCCAGGAAATAATAGCAAAAACTGACAAACGGGATTACATCAAATTGTTTCTGCAAACCAAAGGAAACAATTACAGAGTGAAGGGATAGCCTACATAATGGGATAAAAATCTTTGCTACATATTCATCTGACAGGAGATTAATACCCATAATATGGTTTAGAATATACAACCTCAGGGGCTGGGAAGGTGGCTCAGTGGTAGAGCGCTTGCCTTGCATGCATGAGGCCCTGGGTTCCATTTCTCAGCACCACATAAGCAAAAAGAAAAAAGCCGGAAGTGGCGCTGTGGCTCAAGTGGTAGAGTGCTAGCCTTGAGCTGAAGAGCTGAGGGACAGCACCCAGGCCAGAGTTCAGGCCCAATGACTGGACCCCCCCCCCCAAAAAAAAGAATATACAACTTCAAAAAAACTACTTGTTCTAATCAAGTACTTAAAAGAAGAAACAAATGTCTATTAAATACATGAAAATTTTCAAAACCTTTAGCCATAACAAAAATATAATTAAAAGTTACTCTAAGATTCTATCTCATTCCAGTCAATATGACCATCATCAAGAAAACAAGTGCTGGAGAGGATGTGGTGTGAAAGGAACCTTCATACACTGTGGCTGGGAATGCAAATTAGTGCAGCCACTGTGGAAATCAGGTTCTTTAAAAAAAATAGTAAAACTAGAACTCTTATATGCTCTTGCTATACTGCTATACTGCTATGTATATACTCAAAAGAACCTAAGTCAATATAGAATACAGTAGCTGCACACTCATGTTTATCATTGCACTGTTCAAACAAGTATTGCACATTTTCTCGCATATGCAGAGTTTATGTTATATTTTTTAAGACATAAAAGTAGAAAGAGAAATATTGGGGGAAGGAGAGATTATCAGGAGTAGAACAGAGATAAAAGAAGATGTTGGGGTATGGAGATGGTCAATGTATATTTTATGCATGTATGAAAATATAATGAAATCCATAATTGTACACCCCATTATTTTGTGCAATTAAAATATATCAAATTTTAAAGACCTTAGAAACAAACAACAATATAAACAAAACAAATACCTTTTGTGATTGGAGCACTTGCTTTGCTCTTCTCAGTAATAACTCCACGACTGAGTTGTTTAAATGAATAATCAGGGATACAATTAATGGTTGCAGCTAAACTTATAAAAAAGTATGCCTTAACAAAATAAAATTTATTTAAGAGATGTTGTTGGCCCAGGGTAGTAAGAGTCCAGGGCTGCCCTTTACTCATTAATTCATCAAGTGCCTAAAAATAAAAAAGGAAAATAAAGCAAATTAGTAAAATATTTTTCAGGTACTATTAGCTCCATTCCCTTTTGTATTCCTCATTTGGTGTCAACTTAAGGAATTCAAGTTGCATAAATGGCAGGAGTTTCTAGAGATATGTAGAAGGTAGAACCATCCCAGCTCAACTGGAGGGAAATAAATTCACAACATCCACGCTTCGCAACTAGAAATGGATAAAACCACAGAACCATGCAAGCACTTCATGGTCATCATCCTGTATTTTCCCATTTTATTCAGTCTCCTTTCTAAACAATCATTTCCTAGCCTTCTCTCCTTTACATTTGAATCCTTCCTTCCTTCTCTGCTTCACAGCTAACAACCTTTGCTTTCTCTACTTAACCAAAACAAACAAGCGGTCAGTAAAGCAGAACATTGTAGATTCCAATGTTCCATTTACTTCACCTCCCTAAGCATTTATCTGCCCCCATTTCCACCTTCCTTTCTGCTGCTCAAAGATGGTCATGCTGCCTAGGCCATCAGTTCTGTCCCCACTGACCAGCCCAATTGTTCTCTCCTCTACACACGTTTTCCTCCTTTTCTGTCAGTACATAGTCATTCTATTAGAGCTCTGTCAATATTCTAATCTCCTTTGGGTTTTTCTTTTCCCAGCGCTGGAGATAACCTGAACATGCTACACTCTACCACTAAGCTGTACCCCCAGCATGTTATTTGCTTTTAAATCCATTCACAATTCCTATATTCAAACCCTTTGGTTTGAAGTCACCAATGACTCCACTGGACTAAATCCAAAGTTCAATTCTATGCTCTCATATACCATGCTACCTCTAATGTAACATCTTTTTATCTTTTTTAAATTCTATTTTCTTGTAAAGATGCTGTATAGATAGGTTACAGTTATATCAGTAAGGTAATGATTTCATTTCTTGTTGGGCATTGTTACCCCATCCTTTGTTTTTCTCCCACTATCCCTTCTTTCCCCCTCCCTCCCACCATACCATCTTTACAAGCAAATACATGCATATACCATCAAAAGTCATGCTGGAAGCACAGTAAATTATGATGTCCAATTTTATACTACTGATCCCCTTTCCTTCTGAAGATGTTTTCTTTCTTTGGCTTTCAGGCCACTACACTTCCTTAGCCTTCATCGTTGTCTTATTAGTCATTTCTTTTCCATGATCTTTGCTGGCTCCTTCTCTTTTGTATTTCTTAAAGCTGGAATGTCCTAGGACCCTATCCTTGTTTTCTCCTCAGTCCCTGTTTAAGAAGGTCATCCTTAGGCTTTTCTTTTCATTTCCTCCAAAGGCTGGAAAAATCACAAAGCTTTCACACTAGCTCCAATCTCTTCTCTGAACTCAAGACTCATAGAAGCAATTTCTGACTCAATTTTCACTTGGATGTCTTAAAGATACCTCAAACTCAACATTTCCAAAACTATAATCATAAACACACACACACACACACACACACACACACACACACACACACACACACACACACATATACACACATACACACACACACTAAACTCCATGATAGCTGGAAAACTGATTGATATGTTTGATTGATGAGCAGAAGAATTCTACCTGGTGCACAACTGATTCAACAGATTTACTAAAGTAGTATCTTTAAGATATAAATATATAGGACCATACTTTCACATAAAGCTCCTGTTGGTACTCTATTTTGCAAGGGTAAAAGCCTAAATTACAATGACCCTGGAAGATCCTCCTCAATTTGACCTCTGACCTTGCCTCCTGCTGTTGTTCTACCTTTCACAGGAGTTTACAGATATCATTCACTACTGCTAGGTAATTCTGCTTCAGGATCCTTGAACTTGCTATTCCCTACTTCTGCATTATTCTTTCTCCAGATTATATTTGTCTTTAGAGAAAGATTAACTTGATTATCACATTTAGAATTATAATCCCTACCCTATCTTATGCTATCAATCTGTTTTACACATGCCTCGGTCTATTTTCTCCTATATCATGGTTTTTCTCCTCATATACAATATACTTTATATTGTATATATACAATATACTTTATTCTATATAATATTTACTTATATTTCATGTTAATTACTAGTCTTACCCACTAAAATATAGCCTCCATGTGGACTTGGAGTTCATCTGTAGTATAGATTGCAGGTTCTTCATAGTTTTTGAAGTAACATTAAAAGTCAACAGTGGGGCTGTCTATTCTACAATGAGGGAAACTATTCACCTTAAGTAAACAAAAAAATTGCACTGTTTGGGAGAATTCGAAGCAATGATGGCAGTGCTGAGACCTGTGACTTGTTTATTATCTTTCTTCTTGTAAGATCTCAGAATCAATGCACATCACAGAGCCAGGTGTGGAGGAACCACTGGGCCTGACATGCTGTCACACAATCCCCACTGGGAACATGGCTGGCTCACCCTATCCAGAGAAGAAACTGCAGACTGAGAGAGGGTGATCAGAGAGGACAGTTCTCTTTTCCTCTGCAGCAAACAGTGATTTAATGAGCCTTGACAATTACACACAAACACTTGAGGATCAAAGGAAGATTAATTAGTAATGCTATTTAACACTCTTCTCTCTCCCTCTATGTCGAAAATACAAAGTGTAATCTGAAGAGTCTTAAGTGGGCCAACAGTACTGTTTTAATTAATTAACGAATAGATCAGGTTTCCATTATGCTGTCAGTCTCTTATTATATAAAAGCAAATGATCAGATAGACATTCTTTTTATACCAAAAACTGCTCCTTAAGGAGCATTTAGGATGGCCTGACATTTATGACTCGAAATATATAAATATTCTTAAATCTCCCAAGGTCCTGGAGTACTAAAATACAATATGAATATGTATTTATATCTTCTTAATATCGTTCTTTCATTTTAGGCAACTTGCTTATAAATTAAAATACTGAATCATATAAAGCATAATTAAAAGTGAACTTTGTGAAATAAAATTCACAATAATAGAAAAGTAATAAAATCACATTTAATAAAAGGTGGATATATTCCTTATCAAAATTATGGAAAGCAAAATTAAAACAATTTTGAGGACTTGTCTCTTAAGTTACTTATTAAAATATGTACTCTACTTTAAACAGAGCACTGCTTCTTATCATTCAAAAAAACAAAGTTAAGTACACACCTGTAATTCCTGCTATGCAGGAGGCTAACCTTAAGCAAAAAACAAGAGACCTTGTCCAGGAAATAACTGAAGCAAAAAAGAAGGAAGGCCAGAGGGGCATGGTTCAAAGAGTAGAGCACCTGCTTAGCAAATATAAGGACCTGAGTTTAAATCCCATTACCACCAAAAAGGAAAAAAAAAAACATAAAATATAAGTGTATTTGTCTTTCTGCATTAGCTGTTTTTGAGTTGTGTGGGTGCTTTCTCCATCATGATTCCTGGAACAAAGCATGTGCTTCAACTCTTCCACCACTTTCTGGTGGCAGGAGGGCAGAGGCCAATACCCTAAGATTGTTTTAACTGACTATTTTAAGATATTTCAATGTTCCTATGACATCATATGTTCAAGTTCTAGTCACTCAATTATTGACAGGATGCAGGTATATTTAGATTCTCATTATCTTTTTGTAAAAAGGATGGGGGATGTCAAAGGAGTTACTTATGAAAATGGCAAGTTAAAGCATTCAGAACATTAGCGCATGGTCTAGGAAGAGCAAGGAGGGTGAGAGTGACAGCTGCAGTGACATGTGGCTATTGCAAAATGTACAATTGGAGTCAAATGCCACTTTCTAGAAAATGGAAATAAGACCTTAAATGTCTGAGAGATAACTGGCATGGCTGGCTGGGCAATAAAATACATCTCTGTAAGTAGACATGAGCACTGCCAGCTATTTTTCTGGCCTAAAAACCAAACCAATTTGATCCAATCTTAACTCTAAACTCAGAATTGGGGAAATTAAAACCTCCGTTATTAGAAATATTTTGGAAAACACTGTACACAGCAGGCTTTCTAACCTAATATTGTACCTCTCAAGAAGACTGAAATGACTCAAGTATAATCCACACTAAATAGCCAATGTTTATAAAATATTGCTCTTCTTACCTGCATATTCTCTTTACTGTTAAGAGGTTTTCCTGAGTCAAATGACTGAAATAGCTGAAAAAATACAAAATATAGGAATTAGTATTTGAGTAATACATACTCTAGCCACAATAACTTACATAAAGAAAAAACTAAAAATCAAACACAAAGCAATTTGGTTATGTGCTCAAAACTGGTCTGTTTGCTAGTACTAGTACTTGAGCCCAATGCTTTAAGCATGCTTGGCAAGCATACTGCCACTTTAGTAATAACAGCAGTTCTTTGTTTCTTTTTTCTACTCAACATCTTTGCCTGGGCTTACCTCCAGTTCACGATCCACAGGCCTCAGCCTCCCAAGGAACTGGGATTATAGAAGTAATACACTATTCCTGATTTTCCTACCAATTACTATTTAAAAATATATCTGTAGCTCGGTGCCAGTAGCTCATGTCTTTAATCTTAGCTACTCAGGAATCTAAGATACAGCCCAAGGAGGAAAGTCTATGAGACTCTTATCTCCAATTAACCACCAAAAAATCAGAAGTGAAAGTGTGGGTCAAGTGGTAGAGTGCTAGCTTTGGGCAAAGTAACTCAGGAACAATTTAAGTTCCAGGACTGGCAGGAAAAAATTATCTTTAAATAGCTATATAAAGTAGTTGCAATTCAGTCCAATTAATTTTTATGTACTTTGTAAATTTATGTGTAGATTTTAGTAAATAGATGTACAATGAGATCACCATTTAACCCAATTATTTTATGTGCCTTGAAACTTCATATGTAGATTTATATTCCATTTTCACCAAATATCTATCCTTTTCTTCCTATACTATGAAGTCATTGGTAAACCTCATCTAGTGAGCAGGTACTATTCTATCCAGTGATTCTGATCATTGCTTTAGCTAAGATTCCTAGAAGCAGGATTTCTGGAACAAAAGATAAGAAAATATTGAGAAAACCAAAAAGTATGGTTCAATTTACACTCACACTATATGACAATACTAGGATGAGTCCACTTTTAACACAAATATCATCACTTGAAAAAAAATATTTGCCAAGGATAAGGTATGGTAGCTCATGATGATAATCCCTGCTTCTGAGGAGGTAGATACATGGGGATTATGGTTACAGGCCAGCTAAGGCAAAAAAGTCATTGATAGCATGATGGTACACATGTAGAATCCCAGCACAGTTCCCTAGCTGCCCACTGCAGGGACCTCCTCATTAGCTCTCTCTGGGTTAGATCTCCTCCCTTTCCTATATAACATCCCACTCACTCTACTTTCTGAAATTGTCTCCTAGACATACTGCTTCCTTCTAAATCTTTGTCTTAGTATCTGTTTTTGAGTATACATTTTATTGGAAGAAAATATTAAGAAGTGTATAAAATTCCTTTTTAGAAGCTACTCTTTACTGCCAATAATATATTGAAAATTTAGTATCAAAACTTGGGGGGAGGGTAGACACCTTCAGTACCATTAACTGAAAAGAACTGATATGAGACTTTAGATTTTGTGATAAGAACAGGATCTTAATGTGAACACAATGTTAAAATACAGAATTTTTAAAGCAGTATGAAAAGTCCAATAGTAATCTGTAAGACTTTGTCAGCTACTTCCTGCACAAGTAAACTTAATTCATTAATCCCTTCTTTAAATAACTGGCCTGCAGCCTAATAACATTGGCACCTATTTTAATTATAAACCCTAAAAGCATTTCCTCTTTAATTACACTTTGTTAAGTCCCAACTGAAGCTGGAAAGCCACAAATTAACTTTGAGAATATAATACTTAAAGTTAGAATCCACTGGGAGATAACTTGCCCACACATTTATCTTATGAGAACTAATGAATAAAAATGAAATTTAGAATTTACATGTAAAAAGACTTTCACACTTTTTGTTGTTTTGGTGAAGGAAGGGCTGTTGCAAAGGCTCTTGTGTCTCATTCTACACAACTGGCTTCTCTTTCTTCTCTTCCTGGACTCTAAATGGGGATGATAACCCTAAGGTTCTCTAACTCATGCTTTTCTCTGTCTACCTCAGATCCCAGCAATTTCATTCAGTCTTATGATTTTCTTTTGGCAGTACCAGGGTTTGAACTCAGGGCCTTGCATTTGCTCAATTTGCTTCAACTGGTGTTCTACCACCATAGCCATGGCTCCAAGCCCTGCTTTTGGTTGGCTTCTCTGCCTAGCCTGGCTTTAAATTGTGATCCTCTGGAACTCGCCTTCCTACATAATTAGTATTACAGGCATGAGTCACTGGCACCCAGCAAGTCCTATGATTTTTAAATCTCTTTAATGATGCTCCAGATTTAGACCTGCAACACCAACCTTTGCACTGAATTCTAGACAATATATTCTTTGCCTCTCCATTTGGCTGTCTGCTATCTCAATTCCTGCCCAGAGCAATATTCCCTTCTCAGTAGATGAAAATGTTTTTTTCTCCTAGTTGCTCAGGTTGAACACTGTAGTTGTCCTTAACTTCTCTTACATCCCATATCTAAGCCTGATAGCCCTTGTTTCATAATATTCCCCTAAACTGGGCCACTTCTCACCCTCCCACACTATTATCCTGACCATTATGATGATGCCTCAGATTCCAGATTATTTTTAACAGCATTCTAATTGATCTCCTTGTTTATATCTCCACCCTTAGTTTATTCTCCATGCAGCAATAATGAGGACACAACTGTTGTTTTCTGCTGTTGTTTTTCATTTGCTTGTTTGTTTTGTGGGTTTGGGATTGAGGGCAATATGGAGTTTGAACTCAGGGCTTTGCATTTAGTAGACTGGTATTTTACCATTTGAGCCATGCTTCTTCCTCTGCTTTTTGCTAGTTATTTTGGAGATGGAACATCTGAATTTATTTGGGAAGGCTTCCAAATCCAGGCATGATGGATCATACCTCTATCTCCAACTACTCACTAGGTAGAAATAGGAGGACTACAGCTTGAGGCTAGCTCGGGAGAAAGAGATTATCTCAACAAACAATCGAGACATAGGAATATTGGCCCTGGTAAAAAGGTTGAGACTCTGTGAAAATTCAAGCAAAAAGGAATGAGGGCATGGTTCAAATAGTAAAGCATCTTAGGTCGGTGTAAGGCCCTGAGTTCAAACTCCAGTATCACCTATAGAGGAGGCGGGGGGAGGAAAAGGAGGAGTAGGAAGAAGAATCACCTTCAAAACAACAGCAACTGACTGCCCTGTTTACTCTCCTTCCCTTCAACTCTGCTGCACAACCCTTCATAGCTCATCACCCCTCAACACAGATTTATGTGCCAAGTATACCTTTATTCTGGCCTCTTACTAGACTGCAAGATCCCAAAGAGCAATAGCTCCATTGTTTATTTTTGTTTGTTTTCACTGCTTTGGTCTCATGTGTGGAATAATGCCTGTATTCAGGGTCAACTGATTAAAATAGAATTTAGTAACAAAACATCAACCATTTATAATAGGAAAAGACTGTAACTAGCATTCAAGCAAGAAATGCTACTAACTGGACCCAGGTTAGAAGAGGAATTAGTTAACACCCCAGCAAGTAGATAAAATCATCAACTGACTTATTTCTTGAGAGGAAGGTAAGTAGATAGAGGGATTCACAGACAGACTTGTCTTGCTTAATTTGTAAACTAAATAGTTGAAGTATCCTTGACATACCACATGTGGTGCTCCATCCTCATTCACATCACATATCCTGTATCTAATATACAGATACACTTTTATCAGTCTATAGGTATAGATACATCCATACAAGTATACATTCACACATATATTCTTATCGTCTACTGAGTGATCCTCAGGATGTTCTGTAGACAATTCACATTTTCCTACTACAACTGTTTTGTGTGTGGTGCTGGGGATTGAATCTAGGGTTGAATCATATGTTAAGCAGTTGTTTAACCACTGAGTGACATCCTAGCCTCTACTATAATAGATTATAATGCTATACCAGATATATGGAATAACGAGGGGGTTCATCTTAGAAATAGCAATGAACATGATAGGAAAATGTAATGTCAGCTAATACAAGTGATTTTTAAGATTTAAAGCTCATTTCCCAGGTTCCTGTTAGGTACTCTAAATTTGAAAGCAACAAGCCTGTATAGTGTCTATCAGTCTCATCTTCATACATCCTGTCTTTACAGTAAATAGCATAGTACTCTCCCATCTTGTTTACATCTGGCTCATGTGGTCCAAGCATCTGCCCAAGACAAGGTCACTTGGGCATTCCCAGATTAACATAAAAACCAAAGCAGAGGAAAATAATAAATCACTGACATTTAATTTATGCTTTCACTATAAACTCCAGTATTCATTTCAAGGATGCTTCAATTATTCAGTTTATAAATACAAATAAAGCATGCCAGGCAAAACTGTCTCCTAAAACCAAAATAGACTAGGTAAAATGGAGAATATGCTTTTCTCAAGGAAATGAGAAGTCTGAAGGGATCTAGTGTATAGCTCAGTTGTAGAGAAGTTGCTTAGTATGACCAAGGTCCCAGGTTCAACCCTCAGTACCTCAAAAAATTAACTCTTTCATGTAAATTATGTAATTTTTTTAAATCCAGGACTAGAGGAATGGCTCAAGTGGTATGACTGGCAAGCAAGTACAAGGCCTGAGTTCAATCTCAGCACCTCAAAAGAAAACATCAACTCCAGACTATGGCATATAAATCAAAGAGATTCAAATAAGATATGACAAAAGATATTTTTGATGAATAACATTTCCAGAAATGCTAAGACTAGATCCTTGACAGCCATAATAAAAGAAAAAGAAAAAACCAACAAGCAGCATTCCTGACCTGTAATTTATTTCAAACTACTACTGCAGAAGCTTGCTCCTTCCCTTATACTTTTTGCCTTCTACCAGACAGATGAAACTTTCTGAAAGCCTGAAGTTAATATAACCTGGCTGCAGAGAAGAGACATAAATATCACTTTTGTGGAAATGCTTCCTAGATTTTAGAAATGCAACATTCAAAAATAAAAGTGAATAACTTTGTATAAAATGGCAGGTTACCTTGATTTTTCCAGTAGCTTTAAAACCAGCAGGTATTGAGCAAGGCATGTTTTTTCCATAAAAAATCTGAGCAAGCTCATAAAAGGCTTCAGAAAAGAAGCCCAGATCTATAAGGACTTCAATCTATGAGAAAAAAGAAAAGTATTTTAAGTTAGTTGGTTTCACTTATAAATAAGAACTTTAGAAAATATTTATCAAACTTCCAAGATCCAAAAGTCTACTTACTGATGGCAATGTATTAAGAGTTAATATCTACTAGTGTATCAGTGAGTGGAGATGAGTGTATTTGTATATGCACCTCAGTTACTTGCTTAACTTGTTCAAAATGACTGTCATTTATCAGATGCTGCTTGCTTGCTTCATCAGTGGCAAACAAATAAAATGGAATACCCATGGAAAAGTTTTAAAAATTAATTGAAGCCAGGCTCTAGTGGCTCACACATGTAATCTAGCTACTCAGGAGGCTGAGATCTGAGGACTGAAGTTTGAAGCCAGCCAGGGCAAGAAAGTTTGTAAGACTCTCATCTCTAGAGAAGAAGGAAGGAAGGTAGGAAGGCAGGCAGGAAGGCAGGAAGGTAGGCAGGAAGGTAGAAAGGAAGGAAGGAAGGAAGGGAGGAAGAAAGGAGGAAAGAAGCAAGGAAAAAAGGAAGGAAGGAAGCAAGGAAGCAAGCAAGGAAAAAAGGAAGGAAGGAAGGAAAGAAAGAAGGAAGGAAGGAAGGCAGACAGGCAGGCAGGCAGGAAGGCAGGAAGGCAGGAAGGAAGGCAGGAAGGAAGGCAGGGAGGGAGGGAGAAAAAGAAAGCACAAACACCCCGATGGTCTTAAACTCTCTAAGGAAAGTCAAACAAACCAATATACTAACTCTACAATTTATCAAGATATATAACATCTACTATCAATTTTCTTATCCATAATTAATATGCACTATCTGTTTTAAAGACATATATTTAATATTGGTCAGCTGATGATTACGCATTTAGCATGACTTACTTTTACTATAATCCAGCTGGATTATCATTCAGAAAATTATAGGAGGTCAAATTCATTTACTCTTTCAAAGTGGTTTGGGTTTGGGGGTTTTTAATACCACAGATGTACCAGTGTCTTTTAGAGATTACTTTCCATTGGGATATATATTCACTGAACGTAAGACATGAAGGTATGCACAAACTGAAAAGGTTCATTAACAAAATGTTACTCCAAAGAGTTAGGTCAGGAAGGACTTCTGGGAAAGGGAGCCCTTTCAGAGAAGAGTTAGAATGATCTAAGAAAAAGAGTCATGTGAAAATCTGCTACAGAGACCCGGGGTACATAGATCATGTGGCCAGAGCTCTGGAATGGCAGGGAGGAGGGTCAGGAAGTAGCCAGAATAGAAGCAAGAGATCAGGTAGAGCCAATAGATCACAGTAAGGGCTGGTAGTACTGGTGTAGTCATACATACCTATAACCTCAGCACTCCACAAGAAGCAGGAGGGTCTTGAATTTGAAGCCAGCTTGGACTACCCATGTTGAAGGCTAACCTTCATAGTGAGATCTCATAATGAGATATGGTCTCAAAAAAAAATTCAGTGGCTAGGAATGTAGCTGTGCTACACAGTTGTTTGCGTAGCATGGGCAAGGCCTTGTGTTTGATTTCCAGAACCACAAGAAACCAAAGAGAATGAGAAGTAGTAGCTATTAGAAAGTTTTTACTGAAAAGGACCCTAGCCTGAAAACATCTAGTGACTTTGTGGAATAGAGAGGAGGATAACTGTGGATGTAGGAAGTAAAAGAAAAAAATATGACAAACACACATAAATACACACACACACACACACACACACACACACACACACACACATATTACTTGAGGAAAAAAATCAATTTATCCCCAGCATGTCGATCCACCTTACTTTCTTGTTTTCCTTTCAGTACTTGCTTAGTATCTCAAGAGTATATAAAATTAGAAATAAAGAAAGATAGTGGAAATTGGCTATAAATATAACATGAAAATAAAACATAAGATGCCAGGAGACCATTTTTAATGGGAAAGAGGAAGTTGCTTGTCTACTGACTCACACACTGCAGATCTTGCCTAATACCCCTGTGTATAGCCTCCCCCATGCTGTACAGTCTCAAAGCAGCCCTTAGGGACATAGATGGATTCTCAGTTTGCAGATGTTCATCACCTTGTAGCCCCTTACAAGGAAAATCTCTTTAACCCCCTTATGGTTATAGTGCTAGCATAGACTACACCTAACTGTCAAGGATGTCTCTAAGTTCAGTTCATTCCAACAATATGACCATTTGGAGAAGCAATGGTGTTAATAAAGGTATTTTCAGAAGTGACCAACTCCTGTGAACAGAAACAAGCCAGATGGCAAAAAGAACTAGCCATAAATCAATCTTCCACTCAGAAACTTTCCAAACCATCAATGTCCCTCTACACATTTGATTTGTTGAGAATTATAAATCTGTGAAGAGGTTGGCAGGTCTAAAGTGAAGCCAGAGTAGTCAATCATCAAGAGGTCTAACAGTTTTCCCTGTACCACAGAAACTTAACAGCATGATCTACTGCTGTTGTTTGTTAGAAAACATCATTCTTTACTGTTTCCAACTGACTTTTCTCTGTTCCCACTCACTGAACCCAGTTTACTTCAGAGAGGTCAAGAAAACTCTTCTCATTAAGGCTATCATTTCTCCCTCTGAATGGTGGACCTATTGATTGCCCCTGCACATTATATCTGTCAAAACCCTAATCTGAGTTTTTAGTTGTTCTATGCCAATGAAATCCCATTTCTATCTCATTCTACTCCCCTGTCCATACTGTTACCTGATTCCAGCTCTGATCATGTCATTCTCCTAACAAAATGCTACAATTAATCCTCCCTCCAAACCAGGCCTTCGGACAGAAGATGATACCAAGTACTAAAGCTTCTAAGGCTTGAATTGCTTTTCCCAAAAAATGAAGAATTAAAAATTTAATTCCTAAATTCATATGTTGATTGTATTCAGAGGTGGAGATCTTAAGAGGTAATCAGTGTAAGATATCATTACTGGTTTTCTAAGAAAAGGAACAGATTTGAATTTGTGCCTCTGCCCCCTCATCACTAGATGGCTTCTGCCATGTTATGATGCAGCTGGGAGGTCCTCTCCAGATGTGGCCCTTGGTCTTAGAACTCTTAGCTATCAGCATTGTTAGAAATAACCTTCCTTTTTTGTAAATTATCCGATCCTGAGTACTCTGTGGAAGCAATATAAAATAGGCGGAAATGCAAGCCAATAAAAGAGTAGACTTCTAGCTAAATTTTTTGTTTCAAATCCCTTCAGTTGATCTTAGTATATAATGAATTGTTAATAGTCATTATAACTTCCCCCACACTTCTGATCTCTTAATGACAGTCCAGAATATACACTATCCAACTCTGGCTCCACAATCTCCTTGTCTCTCTCTTTGTGTAATCTCTACATTCTTTCTCTTCAAAACTTGGAATTCAAGTTGGGTCTTGGTATGCACCAAACCATGGCCCTCTGGTATTCCTACCTGCTTTGAACTCTAGCCCTTTAAACAAGTCAATATTTTCTCACCTCTGTATCTTTCAGACCACCACCTGCCAAAAATAATCCCTTTCTACTCTCTCCTGCTGTTAGTTGTATTCATTTCTGCTTAGTGAAAACTAAGCCTGAAGCCATGTTTCCCTTCTTTCAAACACCTGAAAAATAGTATCTATCACATATATTCACAAATAGTATCTATCACATATATACACAAACTACCAAGTTGCAAGTATATATGGTACTGATTTGTGTATATATTCTTTCTTCCTAGTTTTCACTTTCTTATAATCAGGGATCAGCAGTTTCAGTTCTAGAATTCAATTCACTAACATGGTGCTTTTTAAGTAGGCATTACACTGTAAATGTTGTTTTAGAGTTAAATCAATAAATGTTTATCATGTACTTTTAGGTGAGTTCTACTACATATTAGAGAGACTGTAGACAGTAGATAGGCACTTAATAAATGTCTACAAATTCAAGTTCAATCTAATAATTAATTGCTATCAATTGGGTGAATTTATTACTAAACTAAAAGATAAATAAAATACAGGCCATAAGCCAGGCGCGGTGGCTTACCTCTGTAATACTAACTACTCAGGATGCTAAGATATGAAGATCACAGTTCAAAGCCAGACTGGGCAGAAAAAGCCGTGAAACTTTTATATCCAATAAACCAACAGAAAACCGGAAGTGGTGTTGTGGCTCAAGTGGTAGAGCACTAGCTTTGAGCTGAAGAGCTGAGGGACAATGCTCAGACCCAGAGTTCAAGCCCCATGACCGACAAAAAATAATAATACTACTAAAATAAAATACAGGCCTAGCCTCAAGAATTCTTCAGTCATGCAGAGAGCACTGTTTAGAAAGAGTGAGAAAGAGACAAGGAGATGAGAGAAAGAGAAAAAGAGAGAATGAGAGATATAATTTTAAGAAAAGGGTCATTGAGATTCAAAAACAAGGAATTCATGAGTCAATAACTTAAAGAAGGTGATCAAGAACTTTTCATGATCAATAACAAATATTCTTAAGTCTGCTTAGGAAGTTCTTAGAATTGAAATACAATGGACTGTTTTCCTAGGCCCAAAGGGTCTGAAGGGAGACAGCAGTTCAGAAGGCAATGCAATTTTCTCTCATTGGAAAAGAGGAGGGATTTGGGGAAGAAAAGTAGAGAATATTACCAAACAAGGGAAAAATGTGTTTGAGTGGCTGCCAGAGCCCAATTATTCCAGCTACAAGACTGAGTGCTCCTCTCTTGTGTCCCATACATCTTCAGGAACACAGCCATGGTGGGAAAAGTGCTCCACAGGTGAAAAGTGTGGGCCTACAAGTCAGCTTGTTCTTCTGAGAGCCCACGGTGAAACATTTACCAATGTAAAACAAATTATGTATAAGGACAAAAGCATGAAAGAATAGCCAAGAAATATTTTAAGTTCATGAAAGTCAAATATTCTATTTAAAACTATTTGTCTTCAATTTAAATTTCCCTGCTTTTCCAATGTTCACTATGTTCACAATGTTCCAAAGTGCACTATAGAAACAAAGGCCTTAAATGAACACATTGTGTACTTACATATGAACAGCTGAGTGTGTGATTTTGTGTGTATATTTATATATATATATATGTATTATGTATGCAATATAGCATAAGGATGAATTCCTTATTAGAGTTGAGGAAGTACAGAATAGGGAGCAAACTTGATGGGTGTTGAGACAATCTATGCACAAAACAAAGCAACAAGAGTGGACACAGGTTGGGAGAAAGACAAACTCTTTAACTACTAGTGCTGACAGGCTTAACTATACATGTGCAGAAAACTGAAGTTAGATCCTTATATATCATGCTGTACCAGAATCAATTCTAAGTGGATCAAAGACCTTAATATAAGTCCAGATGCCATTAAAATATTACAGGAAGGAGTAGGGGAAACACTAGGGATTCTAGGCATAGGTCAAAATTTCCTAAGATCCAGAAATACAACAAATCAAAGAAAGACTGGATAGATGGGATTGCATCAAACTGCATGGCAAAGGACATAGCTAGCAAGATAATAGCCCACAGAGTGGGAAGAAATTTTTATGAGTTATACATCATATAAGGGCCTCATATCTAAAATATACTTAGAGCTCAAATAAATGAGCTAAGGATTTAAGGAAGACTTTTTAGAAGTAAGAATAGGCAATAGACAGATAAAGAAATGTTCATCACCTCTGGCCATAAAAAATGCAAATCAAAAAAAAATGCAAATCAAAACAACATCGAGATTATTCCTCACTCCAGTTAGAATGACCATTATCAAGAAAACTAACAATAACAGATTCTGGCAGGAATGTAGCCAAAAAAGAATGTCACTACACTGTTGGTGGGAATGTAAACTTGTCATCCACTCTGGAAAGAAGTGTGGAGGTTCCTCAAAACACTAATAGAGCTTCCCTATGACCCAGCAATTCCACTCCTGGGCATTAATCCAACAGACCACAAACAAGGCCACACTAAAGCTATACCAGCACAACCATGTTCATTGCAACATTGTTTACCATAGCCAAGATTTGGAATCAACCCAGATGCCTCTCAATTAACAAATGGATTACGAAAATGTGATATAATATATATACATGTAAATACATATATAGTTGAATTCTATATATATGTATATATATATACATACACACACACACACACACACACACACACACACACACACACACACACACACACATACATATATAGTGGAATTCGTAAGGAAATAGAAAGACTTGGAAAAATTACACTAAGCAAGGAAAGACCCAAAGAAACATAGGTTGCATGTCTGTAACTAGAATGTGCCTATAAATCTATAACTAAACACAATAAATGGTAAATGATAAAAAGTACACTGGACATGATAAATTATACAAGACTCTAGGCATTCATATAGTGAGAACAAAGGAGAATATTCTTAGAAAAGGATCACAAAGGCTCAAGAGCTACGTAGATATGATCTTATAAGATTACATTTATCAAAACAAACTTCAAGAAATGGAAATGAGCATTTTTTTTGTATTTTTGCTTTTGTTTTTTTTTTCTCCTTTTGTCACTGTTTTTGTTTTCTGTACCTTTTATCATGTATGTAAGTTTATCTGTTTGGGGAAGGATAAACGGCGAACTCAGAAATGGTGGGACAAAGGAAGAACAAAATGCAGCAGTGACATTCACTAGACACTATGTTGAAAATGAACTATACAACTTGTGGTAGTGGGAACCAAGAGGGGAATATTGGGAGAAAACAAGGAAAAGAGTGACATTGTTCAAATAAAAAATGTACTCACTACCTGACTTATGTAACTGTAACCTCTCTGTATATCACGTATACAATAACAATTTTTAAAAAGAAAAAAGAAAAAGAAAGTGGGGACAGACATTAACGTTTAAAGTTACCCAAGGAACAAGGTTCCCAAAGATTCTACATAGGCCTTCGCACATAAATTTAAAGCATGGGAATTGATGTCTAAGACATAGAGAATTGAATGTAAGACACAGATAATTGATACCTAGATAGCAGAATTGTCCGTTATTATTAATTCAATTGCCTGTGTATTGAAATTTTCTTTATACCATGTCATACATGAAAGTATTAGGAATCAATGCTTAGACACTAAAGCTCTATGTCACCTCTAGAAGCCAGTATCACAGAAGTGGTGATTTCTAAGTGACCCAGTGCTGGCTGGTCCTTATTCCTAACTCTATTGACACCAAGCACATCATGATCCAAACCTTCCTAATTGGCTATTTCTATTCTTTATTATGATGAATACACTTTCTTTATATTAACGTAATGACCACATTACCACTAGCTTATTGAGTATTAAAATCAAATTAATACATAACAATGCATTTAATAACTAAAGAATATCAAATGTGTTAGAAGTTTGTAACATACCTTGAGGATTCGTGCTTCTAGGTTTCTGACTAGGTCTTGGCAGATTCCAGAAACAAAATACTGGTACAAGGCAAGGAGAGGCAGAATCTACCAGCAGAATAAAATAAACTTTGTTTTCAAATATACTTTATCCAGTTAATAACATCACTAATCAAATCTATCCAAATGTTAAATGTGGGAAGTACTATACAAAATATTGATTTCTAGGCTAGCAGGTTGAACTGCTTAATATACGTGAGAATATAATTTTACCAGAACTTAAAAGAAACTGTCAGAGACTTACAGTTCCAAGTAGATATCATTAAGTTCCCCAAACTTATGTTTTATATCTAGTCAAGTAAAAAAATCCAGTTATTATCCTTGAAAAATTAAATTAATAGAAATATGTGAGGCCTATAGATAAATCCTAGCAAAGGAGATATCAAATGCAAAATTTGAAGCAAAGAACTCTCACACTCAAGTCCCCTAACTTGCTCTTCCTTATTCGTCTCAATATTACCTGTGAGATATTTTCAGACACCTATCTACTGGAAAATTGCAATTTGCCTTTTATATATTCAGCATTGTTGAAAAAAACAGCAAATTCTAACAAGCCACAGCCTTTCCTTAGTATATGTTCTACTGATTAAAACTCTAGCTCTTGGTGGTAAATGACTATAATCCCAACTACTTAGGATATGGAGGCAGGAGGATCATGAGTTTGAAGCCAGCCCAGGAAAAGTTAGTAAGACCCTATCTCCAAGTTTTTAATGAAAAAATCTAATGATTTTTTTTAAAGGGCTGAGAGTGATGTATGATCAAGTGGTTAAAGGTATTCATCAACCTTTTCATTTTTTTGGTGCCAGTCCTGGGACTTGCACTCAGGACTTGGGTGGGTAATGTCTCTGAGCTTTTTGCTCAAGGCTAATGATCTGCCACTTGAGCCACAGCTCCACTTTTGGCTTTTTGGTGGTTAACTGGAGATAAGAGTCTCATAAACTTTCCTGTCCAGGCTGTCTTTAAACCATAATGCTCAGATCTCAGCCTCCTGGGTACCTAGAATTATAGGCATAAGCCTCACACCCAGAAACCTCTTCATTTTAATACATGTTTTCATACTTTAGCAACTCCTATCAAGAGCAACAATTATTTTTAATATAAAAAAGTTGAATTAAAAAAGACAAATGTGCCAAAGTATAGAATATATGAAAAGCTGTAAACACTAGGAGAAAGCAAAAGAAGGGGTGATATCTGAAAAGAAATGTACTCTTTACCTGATTTACCTTTATAATAACAATAAAAAGTTAAAAACTTTTGCATTAAAAAGATATAAATATAGAAGTTTAGAAGTAGAGAAAAGGACCAAATATGGACAAAGAATTGATATCAAGAAGTAAATGTAAATGGTGTCAGTGGCTCTCAAATCTATAAGATCAAGGTTTGAAGCCAGCCAAGGCAGAAAAGTCTGAGAGACTTCAACTCCAAAATAACTAGCCAAGAGCAGAAGCTGGAGGTCTAAATAGCAGAATATCTGTTTAGCAAGTATGAGACTTTGAGTTCACTGGTACCACTCTCCTCCCCTCAAAAAAAGTAAATATGGGGGAAAAGGTAGATAAAAGGGCATAAAAGGAAGAAAGCAGATACAATGATATTGAAGATAAAAATATTTACTTAAGATGCAGCCAACTTCAAATTCATAATGTAAACTGTAAGTTATTTCCCCAAAGGATTTTGGATTTCCTGAGACATTAAGAAATAACTGCTTTTTATCTCACAGTTCAAATCTGCTGTTCTCTAAGATGTACTTTTGACAAAGATAAGGCACAATGATAAGTGTATCTTGATAGATAAGTAGCCTCATAGTTTGGTGTGTCTGTCTGTCTGTGTGTTTGTGTGTGTGCCCATACTGGGGCTTGGACTCAGGGCCTCTCACTCTTGCGTGGCTTTTTCTCTCAAGACTGGCACGCTACCATTTGGGCCATACTTTCATGTCTGGTTAATTTAAGATAAGAGTTTAACAGACATTTCTGTCCAGGCTGGTTTCAAACCAAGATCCTCAGATCTCAGCCTTCTGAGTAACTATGATTACAGGTATGAGCCATCAGCACCTAGCATAGTTTGGGTTTTGATAAGCACTGAATCATAAAGCTACAAGTTTCAAATATATGATGACATCCCTATGTTTAACATTAGTGATACATTCTAGTCAACTTTGCCAAGTTCCTCAAGAAAAAGAAAAGTGAAATAATAGAGTAAAAAAAAATCAGATAGACTTGTTTTGTATCCAAAACCCCCCCCCAAAAAAAACAATTATGTCAGAGAAGATGCCACTGAAGTATAGATGAGAATCTCAAACCTACAGGATTTAAAAGTTAAACAAGAACTGATTGAAAGAACATTAGCAAAACTTAAAAAGCATAAGACAAGAGGGGAAAACAGCACACTGTGTTCAAAGCTGTTGATTTTTAAAATTACTTACAATTAGATTGTGCTTAGCAAAATGCAGTTCCCGGATGATGTAATACAGACTGGCAATGACAGAACGGATATCAGCCCTGAAATTGTCATTGAAGAGTTCAATGCCTGGGAGTAGCTGAGTGATTTCATACTGAGCATAGCAACGATCTGCTTTGGGATGTGGAAGTGTGGTTCGAAGCAAACCCTGAAACAGAAGACAGTGAAACAAAGAGTGACAAATTCCATTTGCAACAAGGAAACAGGTATCACTTCCTAAAGTACTCTGACATACCTAGTACACTATACACCACAGAATACTATACTATTATCATTGTTATAGGTGTTAGATTCTTTTACTTCTCATATAAAGAATGGTTATTGAATTTTTTAATTTCAAAAATTTGCTTTAAAAATCATTTTTGAAAACCAAGAAGCTATTAAAATAAATCTCAGCAGCTAATTTTTACTAATATGACAATAATATCCATATTAAATAAAATGTTAAACTTTGGGGGAGAGTATAGGGTTTTGAGTGCAAGACCTCATACTTGTGTTCTACCACTTGAGCCAAATCTCCACTCTCCAGTAGCACTACCACTGGCCACACCACCAGTCCTCTTTTGCTTTAGTTAGTTCACAATTAAGGTCTCTTGACTTTTCCCCAGGAATAGGCTCCTACTGTGATCCTCTGTCCTGTGTCTCCTACATTGCTGGGATGAAGGCAGAAGCATTTTTAAAGTCACATCACATATTTTCTAGAACATAAAAAGCATTACCTTGGAGAATAAGGAGCATGAGAATGTAAAGAATGAGGCATAAGGAGCTCATCATTCTCTTAGCTCTTTTGCCTCTTTGCTTTGAAGCACATGAAGAAGTATTTGGCGTATAAGAAAATTGCTAAGTCTGACCTTATGTTAGAAGAAGAAGCCTTTCTCCTAAAACTGATCTACCTACATTTCAGAAGCTATCAGCCTCTTCTGATACATAGAACAAGAGCATCTGTCCATCCATCAAAGTAAACAGAACCTTTAACATTCAGCAAAGGCCCCTGGCTACATTTCTGAATCACAGACTGCCTCAGATTTCAGATAAAAGTTGCTTTCTTCTTCAGTGAAATCAAACCAAAATCCTGAGAAACACAAACACTCCTGTATTCTCCAACTTATTTCTTGCCTTCATTAGATGAAATAACTTACATCATGACACAAAGCACAGCTTTGCTTAGAGATGTGACAACCTCAGGCAACCATTTAGAGTCAGGTAGATTGGTATTGCATTAATTGCTAGTGACAAAGATCTTATTAATGAGAGAAGACTCAATTTGCCTATCTGTAAAACGTCTTTGAAAGAAAAAAACTGATGGTGCTGAATATTAAAGAGGAAAATGTGACTGGAGTTCAGCCAGCAAGGGAGATAGGGGCTTTTGATATTTAATTATGGTTCATATTATTTTCCTACTTGAAAGTTTTATGATTGGGATGTGTGTGTGTGTGTGTGTGTGTGTGTGTGTGTGTGTGTGTGTGGAGAAAGAGAGAGAGAGAGAGAGAGAATGCTGTCCCTGGTGCTTGAATTCAGGCCTGGGCACTGTACCTGAGCTTTTTTGCTCAAGGCTAGTGCTTTACCACTTGAGCCACATCTCCATTTCCAGTTTTTTGGTAGTTAATTGGAAATAAGAGTCTCACAGTCCTTCCTGCCTGGGCTGGCTTTGAACAGTGATCTTCGGATCTCAGCCTTCCTCGTAGTTAGGATTACAAGCTACTGGTGCCCAGCTGGGATGCATACTTTTTAGGGAATGAATTGCCAGCTGTGTTACTATAAAGAAACATACATGAAATGTTACCTGAAAGAGTAATGCAGACAAAAGGCAACAGTTTATCCTCTTTTCAGTGTTCAGTGTCTTAATAAATCTAAATAAATAGAAGAAAAACCAATTAGGTATTTTCTAAATTGTCTTTAAACATACACCAAGATGTAGAAAAGACTAGAAAAATATTTGTACAAGAAAATGTAAGAAAAACATAAAGAAGAAAATGAAAGATTAACTGTAGACCTACTACTTAAACATGATTGCTGGTAACTTTTCATCAATTTTCTTCTAGTTGTACACACACAAAAAAAAACCCATAAATATCTACATATGAGGACTGAAGATATATAACACATACTATGAGCATATACCTTATTAAAGGTATAGTCATTGGGTAAATTCCTACACATAGAAGTAATCTAAAAGTTAGGTAAGCAGTTAGGAAGCCTGGTGACTGAGAATGTTAAGTGAAATTAGTGATTTCATATAAGTGAACTGCTGATGTTAACAGAATGACCCCAATAAAAGCTTGAGGACTTAGGACCTCCAGTGCATTGCTATTTCTTAAGCTTGCCCACTGTTATGTCCAGCAAGTGCATTTCTGCTTTTTTGCTTTGCTTTGCACCAATAAACCTGCGCCTATGTAAGCTCTTCTGTGTTCATCCTTGAATTAGTTCTCCAACAAAACCAAGAAGTTTCTGACTCCAAACCAGTAGAACAAACCCAGTAATGTACTTTTTGGCAAAAGTAAGTAGACAATTAAGGTTTTTGATAACTATTTGAATACTACTCTCTTAAAGAAAGCAGAAATGTACATTCACACTAGCTATATGGAACTGCTCACAACAGTAAGTCTCTGTACAAACATTTAGACAGGATCTCTCCATTTGCTATTGCCTTCTTTTACGTCCTTTTAGAGAACTTTCCTTATATTGGTCTTGAAACTGCATTTGCAACTGTACACATTACCTGCTCCTAAATCATATTTAGATAACACTAGGCAGCTTTATGGAATTAATAACATAACCAGTCTGAGTTCAGATGTTCGGTATGGGTATTTGAGTTGGCATTTTGCAATAAGGAGAGTTTGCTCTACTCAAGTGTCTTGGAGAACAGCTAAAGCTCCTGTAGACTCACATCTGTGGAAGTCAGACTTCGAGCTGTGTAACCAGGAAATAGCTTTCTTCTCGCTGAAACTAGCTAATAACTTTAGAGGCTCAGAGCTGAGGTGCCCTCTGGCAAGAATGCTAAAACTATTCCTTCCTGAGCTGTGAACTTGTCTCCTCCCTTTGCTATTCTAGTTCTGACTGCCAAGTTTAAGTCATGGTAGGATGGGGAGTGTTCCTTCTCAAAAGTACAAAAAAAATCATACTCAACACAGGTTTAAAAGATCATTCTCATTTAATAATTTTAGAGTAGTAATTTCTTGCTTGTTCTCTCCAAAGATACTATCTGGAAATAAAGTCTTTTTTGTTGAATTTTCTCTATAGCTCAAATTATAGTGTAGATCTCTGATCGATCACTCCATCCTACAGATGAGCTGAAGAAGTAACTTCAAAGATAGTGGACACCTCTGCTACCTTTATATTCATGATGAAATACTAATAGAGTTTGAAGTGCTAATTATGTACAAAGCATTATGATAAACATTCACATGTTACTGTAATAGAATAAATAATGGCTCCTTAAAACATACATGTATCAATCCCTGGAGTTCATGAATATCTTAACCTATGCAGCAGAAAAGATCTGGCAGCTAAGACAATTATTCTTCATTATTTAGGTAGGTCCAATGTAATTACAGTGGTCCTAATAAGAGTAAGGCAGAAGCTCAAAAGGAAAATATGGGAGGATGGAAGTAGAGGTCAGAGACAGTGAGACACAGAGTAAGAAGATGGGGGAAGATGGGGGATTAAGGGAGAGGGGAGAAAGAGAAAGATGGTAGGCTTTTGGTACTGACATAGAGGAATGACCTGGGGTCATGTGTCATGGAATGTAAGAAATCTATAAGGCCAAAATATGCCTAAAAACAGATTCTCACTTAAAGCTTCCCCCAGAAAGCACATCCCTGCTAACACCTTTATTTTAACACTTCTGAACTTCATACTGTAAGATACTAAGTTTGCACTGAGGTTGAGGCTACAGCTCAGTGACATAGCATCTACCTAGCAGTGTGCAGAGCCCTGTGTATAATCTCTAGCATCACTTAAAAATTAGTTTAAGTCACAAGTTGGTAGCAATTTATTACAGCAGCAATAGGAATGCTGCTGTTATAAGCTACATTGTATCCCACCAGAATTGGTATGCTGAGCTCCTAACCCCAATAACCTTAGAATGTGACTGAACTTGGAGATCGTTTTTAAAAATGTAGTTAATTAAAATGAGGTCAAGTGGGGGGCTCTGATCCAATGTGACTAGTAATTTGTTAAGAAAAAGATATTAGAAGAGCCATCCAGAAAGAAGACTTGTAGAGACACATTGATCATTGTTTGCATAGAAGACAAGGAGAGAGGCCTCAGGGAAACTGTCCACTTCCCCTTGACCTCAGACGTCCAGTCTACAGAGCTAAGAGATGACAAATTTATGTTGTTCAAGGCACTTAGTTTGTGGTACTGTGTTGTGGCAAGCCAAGCAATCTAGTTTCTCCACAACACCACACTTAACAGGTGAGGACACTGAGGATCAGAGAGAATGAGTGACATGCTGAGATACAAGGTAATGAGGCCCTTAGGCCTGAGTCAGCCAGCCCCCATCCTGTTGTCCCCTACCAACTGATCCTCCCTTGACTTGTTCGTTAAAAGTCCACTCCATGCCAGGTACTTGGCCTGTCAGCATGTTGTCCTTGTATCTTGGGGATAGGAGGTGTCACAGGAAGAAAAGATAGTCATAAACAATAAATTTCACAGTAAGTAAAATATGTCACTCTGTACAACTGTCTAAGAACTGTACATGAGGTATACTCTCCATGTGACCCACAAAGGCTGCCAGTAGCTAGAGTGTGAGTTACTACATTTTCATACTCACTGTGCTATCTTTGCTGCTATGACGGCACCTTGCAAACACCCCCAAATGCCAACTTTTGATAGAAATTCTTCACTGTAGTCTTTGAAATTGGCACCGTGGGTGGCACTGGGGAGAGAGGTACCAAATTCTTTCCAAGTATGCAGCACATCTGTTTTTCTGAATATATCATCAAGAGCTTGACACCAACACTTGAAAGCGGCTCTACAACAGAACAGAGTACCAAGCAGTATGTTTTGGCCTCTGTCTTCTAATAGGCAACACAAATATGCTGAAGAAACATTCCATCAAATGCGTTAGAGAGTAAACTGTTCATAGCAGTTCTCTCAGGCAGAATTTGCTGAATAAAATGAAGCTATGTTCTATTAACTAAAATTTAGGGGAAAATATATTGTCTTGATTAATTTTTTAAAAAGTTTACAATAAAAAAGAGAAAGCTTGTGCTATTAATTCCAAAAACTCTACCTTTTCTTTTCTGCAAAGATGAGTAGACTTCCAAGTGAATGCAATGCCTGAACTTTAAGACTCCTTTGATTGCTGGCTTGGAGAACATCTGTATTTTTTAATCAAGTGAAAGAATAAATGTCAGTTCCAGGGGAAATATTTCTTTAATATTTGCAAGAATATTTTAAACTGCATTATTCCTTAACTGTGCAGACTGCAATAAGAAACCTGCAAACTAACAGTGCTTTCAAATGTCACATAGTATATATACCCAGAGAGAGAGCAAATGGCATGCTATTTGAACACTTCAGAATGAGCGACTGTGTGTAACACACACAAAACAAGGAAGTGCCATGGAGGACATAAAATCAGGTCAGGCAGGTAGACATGTTGAAAAGGACATGAAAGTGGGAAAAGCAGTGCACATGAGAAGAATGGGTGCATCTTGAATATGGTATTCTAGAGAGTCTGGAAGCCTGTAGAGAGAGGTAGTATTCAAGATTCCCAAGGGTCCTTAATGCCACAGGGTGAGAGTATCCTACAGCAAAAAGGCTCAAAAAGTTTGTTTTTAGCAGAGATATCTTAATTCACACATAGTATACTAGATTTTTCCTTTTACATATATGCAGAAAGATAGTATCACACACTTACACAATCAGTTGTGTAGTCAAATACATAAGCATGGTGTGGTTAGGCCCCAATGAGGTCAGCACCCTGTCCTAGTAATCTAAGGGAGAGTCACAATGGGGCCTCTACTGGCATTTTGTAAGCAAAGATTAGAGATTCTGGACAGCCTGCAATGTACAACAACTTCCCCCATGGCAAAGGAAAAAGTGAGAAAGAAACTTGGTTACAACCGAGTCTAATATCTACTTTCACTTTATACCTAAAAATGGACTTCTGGCATGACTTCTAAAAGTCCTGAATGTTCTGCAACTACTATAGTCTTTGTTTGATTCTGAATTCCAGAAGATTTACTCCTCAATTTAGAAAATTATGTCCCCAAGCTTCCCACTGCTGATTTTATTTAAGCCACTATAACACACCTATGTTAGCTCACATCATCGCTGTCATATTCATGATACCAGAACAGGAAAGAAGCATCTCAATACATCTTCATACCTTCTAAGGCCTGAGCATTTACATATTAACCAAGAGATTATTTTATTATAAACTGATTTTCTTTTACTTATCTTCTATATCAGAGCTCACAATTGTCTTTTGGAATAATGTATGTAGGAAGAGCAAGACCCATTTCAACAAAACAAACTGCACATGCCTATAAACCCAACTATGTGGACAGCATAGGTAGGCATATTTTGGCCTAAAATGGTTTGTTGCAAAAACAATACTGGGGCTACAATAAAAGTTGAGAGTATACAATACAAGTTGAGAATTTATTTTAAAAAAGAATATGATAAAGGAAAAGAAATTAGCTAAAACACAGCCAAAGCTTGTGTTCCTGTCTGTACAGAGATCATAGTTCAAGCCAAGGAGGAAGGAAGAAGGGTAGCAAGAACCTCATGTTGGCCACAGGTAAGTGGGTAATGGCAAGGGCTGGAAGCATACTGTAGAGAGACTGCTCTGTCACTGCCTACATGGGAATCATGAATACAATCTGGTCAAACCCTTTCATCCTACTTGTAAAGCAATGTTTTCAGAGCAGATGCTATCTTATCATTTATACAGACAGTCACATTGACAAAGAAGACATAATGGCTTAGTCTTACCAATGGTTTGATGATAAGAAGAAATTACCAGTCCCAGTTGTGAATAGGGAAGTTTGCTTTTCTCCACTGAACTACAAACTCTGAATTGCTCCTGAGAAAGGTCAGGAGGAGTTGACATGTGCATCTCTTCAGTCCCCAGGCAAAATTCTACTTTCCTCTTGGCAGATCTTGAAGAGTTTACTCTTCCTTTGTCTTCTAAATTTGTGAAAACAAAATTTTAAAAATGTAAAATGGAGAAGTAAGAGAAGTTGGCAGGAGGGAAAAGGAATGGAAATGGGGCAGGGAAGGAAGGAAAAACTTTATAGAGACATAGGACTTGTTTGCAGGTTGAGAGACAAGTTTTCTCACAATTCTTGCATGCATGATGGGCCCTGGGCCCAAGTTATTTCACTCAGACCACTGCAGCCCACAAGCCAGAAAGCTCATGCTCACCTAATACTTTGCTTCTCCTGGGGATGAATGGAAATTACACAGTTTGAGTTTGTCTTTTTAAAATAGCTTCCAACAGTAAGATGTTGCTTTGCCTTTGAGGCAGAAACCTCTGGGATGGAAGCAACATACATGTAGTTCTGGCCTGAGACAGAAGGCAATGAAAAAAGAGTCTCTCTTTTTAAGATGAGAGAACACATAGGAAAAAAGAAAAAAACACTAGCAAAGCCATCAAAAAGAGCAGAGTGAGAAACTAATGTGCATTTTGAAGTCCACAGCCTGCAGAGCAGGAAGGACTAATGAGAATAGTGAGGTTCAAGGCCAGTTTAAAACCATTCTTAAGAGCTATATTTGCTTTTTCAATTCATGCCCTTTCCTATCACTAATGTATTAAGTAACTGAAAGAAGGTAAACATGATAAAAAAAGCTAAGTTAATACAATGTAAGTCTGAAGACAACACAGACACAATATAGCCCAAATTGTTGAATAAATAACTATGTAAATAAATAAAGCTTCCGGTAGTTACAAAAATTGGTCAAATCTCTGTAAGATAATCTCAGTGAAATAAGCATTTTACTTAGAAATGAGTTTAAATCTAATTTTAGTTATTTTAAGTTTCTTTTTATTCTGATGAATTTGAGAGCAAAAGGCACAGATTCTAATTAAAAAATTTAAACTACCCTCACTACAAACAATTCAGTTTTCCCAACCTAACTTTGAGAATATTCTTTTCTGAGTATATCACTTAACCAGACCAGGCCCTGCCTTGATTGAATTCACAAGTTAATAGATATTGAGAAGAGACAAAATGAAAATAATTTAACCAGCAACTGTGGTTTTTAACAGAAAGAAATCTCTAAGAACAAAATCTAAAGGATTAATTTTTTAAAATCTTGATGCTTATTTTAAAATGTATCTGTTTCTTTGAAATTGATAAATTGATTTTTGGTAAAAATTAACCCAGTATGACTCAATCTATTTACTAATGAAAGAAAACATGATCCTATTTCCACACCTGCAAAGAAAATGGAAAGAACATCAGTGTAAAGAATTTCAAAAGTAAGAAATATTATCTTCACATCCACTGTACCCAAAAGAGATTTTGTTTTGCTTTGGTTTTGCTAATTTGGCAGAAAGTACAAAAGCAGGTGAGTCAGGGTTTTGCCAGACAACAGGACTGGCAGGAAGGGGTACAAGGACAGGCTGTGGTCTATCCCTAGGAAGCAGACCCATATAAACAATTATCAGGGAACATAGCACAAGCATTTACCTTGTGTCTGTGCAAGAAACAATGAAAACAACTTCCTGCTGTGTCGGATTGATCTGTTATGGTATCTGGACTTTTCCAGGGACTCTCTAAAGCATCTCAAAGTATCTGTCACATCCACAGGCACACAGAGGAGCTGTTTGGCTTGGATGTATTCTGAAAGAAAAGGACAGGAGAGGGGGGCGATGGGATGAAACGCTGCACAGAGCCAACTAGTAGCAAATGTGGTTCTAATTCAGAGAATTTCTTGGTCCCAACCTGAAGCTGCTAAATTCAAAGTCCCCAGATCTGCAGCAGGTGTTTCAACATTCAAATCTTCTCTCTCTCTCTCTCTCTCTCTCTCTCTCTCTCTCTCTCTCTCTCTCTCTCTCTCTCTCTCTCTCTCTTTCTCTCTCTCTCTCCTTTTGGGATATTTCAAAGTTCTTTCAAAAAATCTTAGGAAAGTTTTGATTATTATGAAATGCAAATAGCTTTGGATCTTGCCAATTTTCCTTATGAAGCCTCCTACTTTTTCTTCTGCTGATCATAAAAAAAGAAAGAATCTGCTCTTTTTCAGCAGCCTCTTCAAAGCAAAGGTGCCTTTGGGAAAAAGAGGAAAAAGGGAAACAAAGAATCTTGGAAATGGATAATTGCTCTCTGAAGGGGAAAAAAGGACACGTTCCTAAGATAGAAAAGTGCAGAGGAAAGGCAGGTTGAGGGACAGGCATGTGTTATGGGGAAGGGGGGGTTCCTGGCTGGAACTAACCGGGGTCCTGAAAAGTTCTAGAAAGGAAAGATGGTCCAACAGCATTGAGGTGACACCTCTGGGCCAGTGAGCAAACTGCCTGGAAATGAGGCTACAGATGGGTTGCATACACCATGAAGAAGGTTCAAGAGAGCAAGAAGTACAGGCTTCAACACTGAATAACAGATTTATTTCTTCAATAAGCTGTACCAATCTAAAAGATAACAAAGCTGTAATACAGGAAGGGGCATGGCCTTCACAGAGTAGCTGAAGAAAGAGGACATTCTAACACTGAATAGTAAAGTAATATTCACAGAATATCTAGCTACATGACAAAATGAGGGAAAGATAGAAGCAAGTTGTCAGCATAGACAGAAAAGGGTAGACAAGAAAGATTTTAAGAACCAGTACCAGTGCCTCACAGCTGTTCTTCTAGCTACTCAGGAGACAGAAGACCAGGAAGACTTAAGTTCAAGGCCAGAACATTTGTAAGATCCACAGTAACAGAAACATTGTAGTGGCATGTTTCTGTCATCTCAGTTACATAGAGGAATAATGGTTCAGGTGAACCCAGGCAAAAAGGGGGGACCTATAAAAAATAACTAGAGCAAAAAGGAGATGTGGTTCAAGTGGTAGAGCACCTTTCTAACATGCATAAAGTTCAAGCTCCAGGAAAGAGAAAGAGAGAGAGAGAAAAGAAGAAGAAGAAGAAGAAGAAGAAGAAGAAGAAGAAGAAGAAGAAGAAGAAGAAGAAGAAGAAGAAGAAGAAGAAGAAGAAGAAGAAGAAGAAGAAGAAGAAGAAGAAGGAGAAGGAGAAGGAGAAGGAGAAGGAGAAGGAGAAGGAGAAGGAGAAGGAGAAGGAGAAGGAGAAGAAGAAGAAGAAGAAGAAGAAGAAGAAGAAGAAGAAGAAGAAGAGGAAGAGGAGGAGGAGGAGGAGGAGAAAGAAAGGGAAGAAAGAGGAAGGAAGGAAGGAAGGGGAAAAAGAGAAAGGAAAGAAAAGGAAGAGAGGGAATGAGGAAAGGAGGGAGGAAGGGAAGAAAAAGAGAAAAGGCAGGGAGGAAAGGAAGGAGGGAGGAATAAAGGGAAGGGAAGGGAAGGGAAAAGAAAGAGAGGAAAGGAAGGGAGGGAGGGAGGGAGGGAAGGAAAGAAAGAATTATATTCTATAATAATCACTAAAATTTATTAAGGACTCAAGTATGTTGGAAACAATAATTTACTGTGATTGATAAAGTCTGCCAAACAATCACAAAATGTAAGTACCATTATTATCCTTATTTCACAGATGGGGAATCTAATACATAGAAAGGCCTGATATAGATCAGCCTCTTCATAAACTGCTAATTGAGATGCCTTTCCTGATTTTTGCCAGTAGGGGTACAGAAGTAGTAGGAAAGGGGTGAAAAGTTTGGGGGCACATTCAGTCAGCAGGACCAGTACTGTTGAACAATGATGTATCTACCAAAATCCTGAAGCCCTCCCTAAGGAAGCAGACTTTACTTTCTTCAAATGGAAAGCTAAGGAAGGGTTTTGAGCAGGACTCCTGATGGCAAGAGATGGTAATTTAGGAAGAGTTAGCCAACCATCATATTCTTGTTTCACTGCCACTGAGAAAGGCAGGTGACTGAAACTGTTGAGCCACAACACAGACACTGTATAATTTAACTCAACTAAGATTGGTAGCAATAGAAATGATAGACACACACCAGGCATGGCAACATTAGAAGCAACAGGAATGGCTAATTGGTTTTGAGGTAAAGGTAAGAGTCATCTCTTCTTCCAGCTTCTGAATTAGTCCCTACCAAACTGGAAAGAAAAAGGAATGAAGTAGCCCAAAGTGATTTCTCACCATATCCATGCAGACTCCAGGACCTGCACACCTCTGGGGCATTACTGAAGTAGTTTTCATCTCTTCCCCCAAACCACTGACATTTTCCCCATCTCCCTCTCCAAACCATTGATTTTCCACTCTGCGGAATCATTCTCACACTTTGCAGCTATTTCTCTTGTCTTTAAAAAAAACAAAGACAAAATTTCTCTCTCTTGACCAATTTTCCCTCAGGCTATAATCTTATTTCTCTGTTCCACTTTACATCAAAATTCCTAAAAAGCTTTCTGCATTCATTATTTCCCATACTCTCATGTACCCACTTAATGAAGCTTCTCCCTTTCTTACTTAAAGGTCCAACTTCATGGACCATATTTGATATTCTTTGCTAGTTTATCCTCATCAATTTGACCTCTTCACTTGAAATCCCAGCTCAGTCATTGGATTGCATTTTCTTCCTCTTAATTTGCACTTATCTTTTAATGATTGTCTTTGGTCTCGGCCACATGCTAATAGCGCCCAAATTTATGTCTCTGGCCCCAATTCTCCTCAAATCCACTCATGTACCCAAGGATCTACTGTGTTGTGAGCCAAACGCACAGGTCAAATATGTCCCTAACTGATTTCCTAATCTATCTCTCTCTGTCTCTGTCTCTGTATTGCTGTCTCTGCCTCTCTTGTCTGTCTGTCTGTCTGTCTGTGTCTGTCTCTCTCTCTCTCTCTCTCTCTCTCTCTCTCTCTCACACACACACACACACACACACACACACACAAACCCACAAAAATATCTTCCTCCCATAGTCTTTCATCTCATTAAAGATGGCTTCACCTTTCCAGATGCTTGGGCTGAAAGCTAGAATCATCAAGAGGTGCTTAGAAGTTGTTTTTGCCGAAAAACACTGCTGAAGTTTACTTTATCCCAAGAAAAATCTACAACCAAGAGAAAAGCTAGCATCCTTGCTTCCATTTTGTATATTTCTTTGCTGTAAGCCATTCTCTCTGGCTGGAATCACTTTGTAATCACCTTGGAATTTGGGACAGGAAGAAATAATTGATAGTATCTTTATGATGGTGAACCAAAACTAACCCTAAGAAACAATGGAGCCTCCTCAAGACAGAATATCCACTAAATAATGAAGAGTTGTTTAATCATGATCAGTAATGACAGCAATAACAACTTTTTAGGAGCACCTCCCAAAACCAGGACTGAAATAATGGTCCACCAGGCCACACTCAGACCAGGACTATATAATTATTATGCATATCTCTCTCCCTGCTACCCTAGGCTTCTTGTATATCTAAATCTACAGCTCATGTCTGTACTCCAAGCTGAACTAAAGTTCTGTCTTCCCATAGCATGTATTATTATATAACTATAATATATATAATATAATATAATAAGCTATGTTTATTATATAACTATAATAAACCCATTTTCTTTGCCCTTCATCTTGTCTCTTTATTTGGCAAAAGGGGTCAGTAGCCTGACCTGACTTGTAGAACTTGTGGGGTTTGGGCCTGGAACCTAAAACTCTGGTTTCAACTATTCTCTCATGCCCAATCACAAATTCTGTAGGACCTCCCTTCAGAAAATACACAATACACTTCGAGTCCCACCATAACTCACCATATGCTCTTAATTACAGCTATTGTCTTCTTCATTGTTTTCTTGTTTCCACACTACTATGTGCTCTTGGCACAGCTATTAGGAGATGCCCTTTAAATTTAAGTAGATTTATGTCACCCCTTGTCCCAACCCTTCCATCTTCCCCTCGCCCCCAATTACCTACAGTAAATCTATAGGGCTCTATGTGACCTGGCTTTCCATTACTGCTCTGCTCTGCCTCCTCCTCTTACTATGCTCTCCTTTATTCTATTGCCTTTTTAAAAGAGCTGCAGTCCCATTAATGTGGACCCCATTCTCATGAATCACTTTTCAAAGACCTCACCTCTAATACCTTCCTATTGCAAGATTAGAAACTTGACATGAATTCTGAGGGGCCACAAACAGTTGACCCATAATAAACGGAAAGAGGAAGGCTGGAACCCCCCACATATTGATAGTATTCTCTCCAAATTAGTATTAATACATGTTAAATTTGGTATGATAATATTTACCTCAGATGTTCATTGTTCCAACCTGTGTCCAGCATGAGACACATTAGAAGACACTGGCTCACATTATAACTGCTAGTCATATTTTAAAATATAGACATGTGCCACCTAGGAACATTTTAGTAAATGATAACCCACATATACAATAACAGTTCCACAAGCCTATATTATATCACCTCTAATGTCATAGCCATCTTAGTTTGTACAAATACACTGTCTGAAGATCACACAACATGGAATGGCCAAATGATACATTTCTCATAATGTATGTCTGTCATTAAATGATGCATGACTGCACATATTGAGCATTGACAAGTCTGTGCCAGACACTAGAAGAATACAAGTGAACAAAACAGTCCTTGCTTTGAAAACTTAAACTCTAAGTGTTTACAATAAATCATCTGAATAAAAATCATCCTGCTATTTTTTAAATCAAATATATGCTGATAAATAATCCTTCTTTGCACTTTTCTCAAACTATATTTTACTTTTTTGGTGTGGTCTTAGAGTTTGAATTCAGGACCTTGAACTTGTCAGATAAGCATTCTCCCACTTGAGCCATGTTCTCACCCATTTTTGGTTTCATTATTGTAAGACCTCATGTTTCTGCCCAGACCATACTGGACTGTGGTCCTCCTGTGTGCACTTACTATGTAACTAATAACAAGAGAAGATGCCACTGCCCCTAGCTTTTTCTCGGTTACAATGCAGTCTTGTGAACTTTTTGCCTGGGTTGCCTTAGCCATGATCCTCCCAACTGCTAGAATACCACCTCAACAGTCTTTTTCTTTGCTTTTTTCTTTCTTTTAGTCTTTTTTCTTCCTTCTTCCTTCCCTTGATCTTATTTCTTTCCTTACTTCTGTTTTAAAGTCTTTTTCATGTCTTAGAATACCTTTTTAATTAGTCCAATCAGTGTTCTGTTGGTGGTGTTCTGGCTGTCTACATGAAATAAATAATACAAAGAAATGAGGAAATATCCTCATTCAGAGCCTTTTTCCTAATAGCTGTGTCTCAAGGGGGCTCCCTTCTGAAAACATTCATAGATACTTCATAAAACTATTCAAAAAAACATTGGTAATGGAGAAGAGGAGGAGAAGGTGGAGGAAGAAGAGGAGGAGGAGGAGGAGGAGGTGGAGGAGGAGGAGGAGGACGAGGAGGATGAGGAGGACGAGAAGGACGAGGAGGAGGAGGAGAGGAAAAGGAGGAGGAGGAGAGTAAGCTATTATGTCTTTAATTGTACTGAGGTAGCAATAAAAACCAAAATGCCAATGACTCCTGAGAGTTGGGTCCACCAAGAAAGGAACCCAGGGAGTGATTTGAACTTTTCAACTGCTTTCTACACATTAATTCAAATGTCTAAGGCACTAATAAAACATACCTGTCAATGAGCTGGAAATTCCAACACATCTCAGGACTGAGTATCCCCACCAGAGAACTTAAATAGCAATAAGGTCAAAGCTCAAGAAAGAGATCCCAAATAAAATGCAAAAGCAGCTCACAATAAAAGGCATATCCAGGCTTATCTCTCCCACAGAGCTTAACAAGCAGGCAAGAATACAATAACTATACAACGAGGTATTCTCAGTTCTCCAAACCCTACTGAGACTATACCAAATTACATATGCATTATTAAATAGTTGAAAGGAGAATAGGATGCTGTTAAATAATGAGAACACCAAATGTTCCTTGGCACTAGGGAATTACAGTATCTGTTGTAAATAATTAAATGTACTAAGCATCACACCAAAAGCTGTTAAGCCAAAAGAAATAACTGTAAGGTTCAAGGAGTGATCTGATGTGGAAAGCATCATGAGTGTCCTCAGACTTATAAGAATTTCAACCCGGGACTGGGAAGGTGGCTCAGTGCTTGCCTTGCATGCATGAGGTCTTGGGTTCGATTCCTCAGCACCACATAAGCAAAAAGAAAAAAGCCACAAGTGGTGCTGTGGCTCAAGTGGTAGAGCGTTAGCCTTGAGCTGAAGAGCTGAGGGACAGCACCCAGGCCCAGAGTTCAGGCTCCATGACGGGACCCAAAAAAAAAAAGAATTTCAAGCCGGTCATGGTGACATCATAAGACTCAACATGCTTTCACTGTATTTGATGTTGGTATAATATGTGGAGGGGAAGGGCAAAAACAAATCGTTTAACTAGGGATACAGGTGGACCCATTGCAACAATGAGATGTACAAGTCGTTATGTCGAAAAACGAACTTTACAACGTTGGTGGGGGGTGGGAAGGATTGGGTGGGGGGAGGGAGGAGTATGGGAAGGGATGGGAAGGGGAAACAAAGATAAGGCAACAATGCTTGCCCATGTAATTGTAACTTCTCTGTACGGTATTCTCACAATAATAGTAATTTTTAAAAAAGACTCAACATACTCATAGACACATCAATGATTTGAATTTAGAATACTGAGAATAAATCAGCAGCATAATCTCCAAAGCATAGGTATAAATATACTACTGCTATTATAATGTTTTCACTTTTTATCTCTTCAAATATTCCTACTGAAATCATAGTTCAAAGGCTAGAAGTCCACCACAGTTGAGAATCCAGTCAAAGGATATTGACCTCTCTTCTGCCCTACCACCTCAGCTTGCCTTACCAAATGCTGCTTTAACCAAAAGGAAGTGCTTTGTTTACACATTGTATCCATCACATATAAGCCTCTACTGGTACATGGGGTATGTTCGTCACAATTCTTGGCCCAGTTTCTCACATTTGTAGTTACCTTTTGAGGCTAGAGGTAATCATGATAATTATATTCAAGTACAGAACCTAAAACTGGGGATCCCCAAGGTTTCACAGAAAGGATCTAAAAAGGGAGAACATACCCAGGAAGAATCACATCTATAACTGAAGCTAATTATAGGTGACTTAGCACCAAAGGCGGTCCTTCCATTCTTTACTGAATCCAAAGGCAATCTGATTTATTATTGACAGTAAAACCTACAGTCATGGCCACTAGCCATGTTACCTAAACCCTTCTTCATTTCTCTTTTTCCCAGTAGTAAAATATTCAGTTTGAAACCTCCAACTCCCATCAAGAAAACCTCCCACATCCAATGAGAAACCTTCAACTTCCACCCTTTCTATCCACAAACCTTCCTACATCAGGGAAATTCTCTCTTCCTTCTTTTCCCCTTAGCAGAAACAATGTCCATCCCTCTTGTATCTCAATCCCTCCATTTTCTTCCTCAAAGTCCTGCTCCAGTAAAAAGAAAAAATCTTTGTCTCTAGTTTTCCTTCTCTACTGGCTCTTTCCTTTTAATATATACCCATACTCCTCTTCTTTCATCTAAGAGACATGTAAACAAAAGTAGGCTCTCCTGAGCCTCCTGAAATCTGCATTCCCTCTGGCTTCTGCTCTTTGTCTCTTGGTATCTGTGTCTCTCCCTTCTTCTCTGCCTCTCTCCATCTATCCTACTCATATCTTTCGCCTCTCTCCTCCTGTTTCATAAAAGGCAATTCTCTACTCAATGAATCTCTGCAGATGTAACACACTGCTCAAAATACTCATTTCTAAAGTCACAAAGTCATTCATTAGCAAATAAGAGATACCAATGATATCAGTGACAAAACAGTGACTCCTTGCTATCACAGAACTCATACTGTAGGAGAGGAAATTAGTAATCAATAAATAGTACATAAATCCTAAATTATATAGTCTGAGAGATAAGTTTTTCAGCATTATAAAAGCATACAGCAGGGTTAAAGAAAATGAGAGGAAGCGGGCAGGGTACTGTTTAAAACTGGTATGGGTAAGTCATTGAAAATATATACATGAAAATGTTAATAGAGGGAGGGCTTTTCAGTCAGACATCTAGGTGGTAGAAAGAAGATTTCAGGAAGGGGAAACAGCTGGAGTAAGGCAAGGGTATCACAGCAAAAAAGCTACCTATATGTTATGTGACCTGACTGGTGACTGCTTCCTATTCTCAAAGGTTTCTTGCGTGGGCTTCCACCTCTTAGGGGATGTCCCACTTCTGTCATACACTGTTATTCTTCTTGTTGTTTCCTGAGTCTCAAGAGCCCTTCATAGATTCTGTATCTCTTTACCCTGAGTACAGAATCAGAACTTAATACTTTAATCCTTTAGTGTTAGATGTGTCCATGCAACTTTGGGCAATGAAATGTTAGCAGATATGACATCCATCACACTCTGATGACAGCTTTTAGAGCCAGCACATAACTCAACACATGTCCATTTTCTTGAAAAAGTGTTTAATTCCCCCTGAAGTAACATTTATAGCAATGTAAGATGGTAAGTGTCAAATAGATCACATACAAATGAACCTGTAAAATAAATTTCACAAACATTGTAATTGACATTCAGAACACATTGGCAAACTTTGTTTGGAAGGAAATCAAGGTTCAAGTTTAAGTTGATTCTGACCTGAATAGAAGAGCACTGTTAGTAAATCCATATTGTTTCCTGTTTCTATTATTTTGGGTGAAGAAGGATCAATCTTGAGCTGTTTCCCAATGAAATTTCGGCAGGTTATCTTTAAAAGGAAAGATGAAAGAAAAATATTTCTTAACTAGGGGGAAAAAAAGTTTAAATTTGGATTACTTGAAATGTTTTTTCTCATCTCTTAAAATAAGGAGATAATAAGACAATGGTACAAATAACAGCTAACAGAATAGCATTTAATCATGAGAACTTTTGGGATCAAACACTACTACGTAACTTCTCATATTGCTTTTATACAACACAGCTGGAAGAATATTATGCAAATTATGTAGCGCAATTAGAATATGATTTTCTTATATACCATAAACTCACTAGTCTAAATATATATTCTATTAGGTAAGTTGAAACATATTTAAAATATAGCCTGCTTTTCTGATGGCAGATTTTCCAGCCTACTCATAATTAGTGCAATTTTAACTTCCCCAGTGAAGTTTTTCAAAATTAATTGCCTCTGTAGTATTTTGACAACTTATTTTCTAACAGATATTTGAGTCCTCAAATTATAAAATATCTGAAAACAGAAAAGTTTTAGATAGAAGGAAATTCTTTCCAAGTCAAATGCAGTCAACATTTCTCTACTCCTATGTCTAGATATTTGAGGGATCATTCCAAAAACAGCCCTCCTTGAACTCTAGTCTCATATGCCTGCTCCTTTATTGTTCTGTGGACACGTCTATAGCAAGACATAAATATAATATAATGAGATGTAATTCCTTCCCACAGTCTACCTAACCTGTTTATTTCCATGTCTCCAGCTTAAATAACATTTATTAAACAACTATTGGGTGTTCCATGCTGGAAGGAAGACAGATGACAAAATGAACAATTCTTAATTGTAAGGAATTTATTCTATGTGTTAAGAAAAATAAAATAATAAAATATATAATAAAACAAAGAATCATGACTTCTGTGGAGAAAAACAATGCAAACAGACACATAACTAATTAAAAATGTCATAAGGAAGAAAATTGATATAGGCATTTGGAAGAGCAGCATTCCAAGAAAGACAACAGCAGATGTAAAGCCCCTGAGGCAAGAATTTGGGGGAGAGAGGGTAATAGTCACCAGCCAGTAACAAGAGGATATGTTATGAATGATAAATTATATTAAAGTCACGAAAACGATGTTCACTTTACTCTGAATTAGATGCAAAGGTAGCACAGGATTTTAAGCACAGGTGTGACATGGTCTGACTCAAGTGTTTTTTTTATTTTTTAATTTTTTAAATTTTATTGTGAAGATGTTGTACAGAGGGGTTACAGTTACATGAGTAAGGCAATGAATATATTACGTGTCAATCATTGTTACCCCTGCCCTTCCTTCTTGTTGTCCCACTATCCCTTCCCTCCCCCAGCTCCCTCACTCCTATCCCCCCTACCCACCCTTGGTGTGGAAAGTTGTAAAGTTCATTTCCAATATACTGTCCTGTGGGTATCTTTGTTGCAATGGGCCATCTTGTGTCCTTGTTTCAGCATTTTCTTATTGCCCTTCCCCTCCCCAGATTACACATATTTATATACAAGATGCAGGAGATCAAAATCGGATAGAGTGACAACAGGAGATATGCCATAGGAGAAAGAACATACAAAGGAAACAACAAAAATAATAATAAAATCACATGGTACATTTAAAACAATAACAATAAAGACAGACCTCTTGTGTCCATATCTTGGGGTTCATCTTCACTTAGCATCATCTTATATGGTCATTTGTACATAGTCTTTGAGCCTTTCAGCTCATCTGATAAGATTATCCTATATGTATACTAATTATTGCAAATAAGGGAAAGCATGAGCCTAAATTTCTTTGGGACTGGGTAACAAATCCTCAAAGAAACAACCACCTCATTAATAAGTGGGCTAAAGACTTAAAGAGAAACTTCTCTGAAGAGGAAATAAGAATGGCCAATAGACACATGAAGAAATGTTCAACTTCTCTGGCCATAAAAGAAATGCAAATCAAAACAACACTGAGATTCCACCTCACCCCAGTTAGAATGGCTATAATCAAGAATTCTAATAACAGATGCTGGAAGGGGTGTGGCCAAAAGGGAACCCTACTGCATTGTTGGTGAGAGTGTAAACTTGTTCAGACACTCTGGAAAGCAGTATGGAAGTTCCTCAGATTCTACGTAGAGCTCCCCTAGGGTCCAGCAATCCCACTTTTAGGCATTTACCCAAACAATCACAAACAAGACCATACTAAAGCTACCAGCACAACTATGTTTTTCACAGCATTATTCACCATAGCTAAGATATGGAACCAACCCAGATGCCCCTCAGTAAATGAGTGAATCAAGAAAATGTGGTACATTTCTGATGCTTCCATCAGAAAGAATGACACCACTCCATTGGTTAGGAAAGGGAAAGACTTGGAAAAAAGTCATATTAAGTGAATCAGGTTTTTAAGAGTCATTTCTATCTGCTACATTAAGAGCAATAGGAACACAGTATTTTTTTCTTTCTTGCTATTGTTTTAACATATTTAAAATGCACTATGTGATTTTTTTTGTTTCTCTTGTATGTTCTTCCTCCACAGTGTAACTCTTGTTTTCACTGTATTTGACCTCGGTGCTCTGAATCTTGTATATACATTTTTCTAATTTGGGAAGGGGAAGGGAAATAACAAAATAAGGGTACAGGTTGACCTATTTAACAATGAGATGTACAAGAAACTATATTGAGGACAAACTTTACAACTTGAGGGGGGAAGGAGTTGGGGAGGTGGGGTGGGAAGGGATGGTAGGGGAAAAACAAAGGAGGAACTTAACAATGCTCGATAGGAAATGTACTCATTACCCTACTCATATAACTGTCACCCCTCTGTACAGTATTTTTACAATAAAAAAAAAAAACAAAAAAGAAGCTGGGGAGTGGTGGCTCATGTCAACTGATGACAACCATCTTTCTCACTACTCAAGATGCCTTGAAGACAACCTTAATTCTTCTCTTGCTCTCACACTCTACTTCAAATAAGGACTTAACTTCATACTGTTTCTAAAAAATACTGGCACACAGTAGGCTTCTTATAATGTTTGCTGATTGGGATAAAGAATATCTAGGTGAAAATCATGTTCGGAATGCCCTTTTGGTTCCTAAATCTTTTCTATTGGTAGTAATTTCCACTGCCCTTACCTTCTCTTTGTGTTCAGCCTCATATCGTGCACACGGTTGTTGGGAAATATCAGGGCCCTGGAACTTCTTAATTCTCAGAAGGAGCTGACGTTGGGCATATACTAGCAGTGGGGTCACTTGTTCTGTGTATCGCTCACTAGGCACAAGTAAGGAATACATTACATCCGTTTAAAAAAAAAACTTGATTTTCCAAAAGAAGTCTGCTCTTTCTAATTGTCATTACTTACTGTGAAATTATATTAAATTGAATAGCAAGTGATACAAGTGTTTCCCATTTTTCCACTTGATATAAAATTTCTAGAGATTTTAACACGAAGTCATGGATCCATTTCAAATCAACCACATTTATGTCATCCAGAGGGTGTTCAAAAACAAGGCTGGAACCACCATTATCATATTTGATATTCCCATAACAACTTGGGACACTGAACTCTCCATTGTCTTCAATAAACTGTAACACATTTAAAAACATTTCTTTATAATTTCAGATTTTACTAAGTATTTTTTCCAACAAATGAATGTGATAATATGGCTGGGGATATGGCTCAAGTAGTAAGGTATCTAGCAAGCTCAAGGCTTAAACCCAGTACTATTAAAAAGAAAAATAAAACAATTAAAAAAACTGGGCGCTAGTGGCTCATGCCTGAAATCCTAGCTACTCCAGAGGCTGAGATCTGGTGATTGCAGTTCGAAGACAACCCAGGCAGAAAAGTCTCTATGATATTCTTATCTCCAATTAATAACTCAAAAACCAGAAGTGATGCTGTAACTCAAGTGGTAGAGCACTAGTCTTGAGTACAAAGTAGCTCAGGGACAGTACCCAGGCCTTGAGTTCAAGCCCCACAACCAACAACAACAACAACAAAATTTCTAATGTGACAAAATAACTCAACTAAAAATAACTAACTGATGCTGGGCACTGGTGGTTCACACCTGTAATCCTAGCTACCCAGGAGGCTGAAATCTGAGGATCTGAGTTCAAAGCCAGCCCAGGTAGGAAAGTCCATGACTGATCTCCAATAAAAACCATCAGAAAACTGGAAGTGTTGCTGTGCCTCAAGTGGTAGAGTACCAGCCTTGAGCTAAAGAGCTGAGGGACAGTTCAAGCCCCGTGACCAAAAAATAAATAAAAATTCAACTGGACTAAACAATTAAAATACATTTTAATACAAATCAAAGCTTGATCACCTGAAGTGATACCATCCAACAGAATTTTCTGAGCTGTAGTTGCCCTGGTCAATATAATCCAATTTAGTCACCAGACAAATATAGATAATGAACTTCTGAAATGTGACTTAAGTAAGTGAACTTCAAATTTTATTTGATTTTAAATATTTCAAACTTAAAGTGAAATAAACACATATAGCTAATGTTTACACATCATAATCTGAGATCTATACTTCTCAACAGTGTACAGTCTCTAGCCATTTAAATAAATAAGGATATTAAACCAGCATAGTAGAACTTTTAGGACAAAAAAATTTTATTCCTTAGTATGTTGGTTACTGTGAGGTCTGCCCCAGGCAATACTGACACTCGCCTCCCCACCTCTTAGCTAAGTCTCCACCCAGTACTTGTGTCACCTAGGTAACTGGCATACCTGGAGGCAGTCACTTCCCCCTTGAGGTCATACTCTGGACTGCCCTCAGGTCAAACCTCGCATCAGTCCAAGGGAGGGTCCCAGGCCCTGAGGTCACATCAGCATCCTGTGTGACCACACCTTCCCATGTCTGGCGACACCTTCCCCCCCCACACCCCTTCTCAGGTGGGACCTCAACCCCTTTCCTTCAGCCATGAACTTTTCCACTATGCATGGCAGGTAAACTTCTCTTCCTGCCTGAATACCATATGGTGTACTCTTCATTGGCTACCTAATTAAACCAACCTATTTAATTTACCTAACAGTTACATTTATTGGTTTTCAGATTATGTCTCATTCATTGATGTCTCATTCATTGATGTCAGGTCAAACTTGTGGAGTGGAAAATATTGTAGAAGGCCTGTTTTACCAAAAGTACAGAGTCATTGTTTCTACCTATGGAGAAGATGGAGGTCTGGAGGATCATATTCCATCCTAACTCATGGCTGGGCACCTACATGTTATCCCAGCAATGCTGGTTGTAGTCCAGGTTGGCCTGAACATAAAACCCTATCTTGAAAATAACCAACCCAGAAAGAGGCTGGTGGAGTGGCTCATGTGACAGAACACCTGCTTAGGAAGTTCAAGAGCCTGATTTCAAATGGCAGTGCCACAATACCAAAGCGGAAGGAGGTTTCCAATAGTTTAATCCTATTTACTCTTTTATTTTCTAGTCATGGGGCTTGAATTTGGGGCTTGGGCACTGTCCCTGAGCTAGTTTTCCTCAAGGCTAATGCTTGAGCTACAGTGCCACTTCTAGTTTTCTAGTGATTAATTAGAGGTAAGAGTCTCATGGATTTAACTGCCTCAGCCTCCTAAGTAGTTAGGATTACAGGTGTGAGCCTCCAGCACCCAGCTTGTTCTTCTGATATATTGCTAATACCTATTGCTATTACCTATTTTCCTTCTGAAATATTACAAAGTCACTGTTTATGTGACTTTGTGACTTATTTTTGGCAGTTCTGGTGTTTGAACTCGGGCCTTGAACACTATACCATACAAGCCACACCTCTAGCATATATTTCAATATGTTTAAGCTAATTTATTTGCATTTTCTACTTTGTTTCCATAATTTAAATGACAATGTGGTAGATTTTAAATAACTGCAATTTCTACCATATTTGGAATAATAAAACTGGAATAAAGATCAACTGACAAGTCATCCTCTGAATCTACTTCTTTATCTGTCAAAAAGATTATCATGTAGATTAAATGCACTAAGCTTAGTGTAGGAGGTGGAATGTTTTAGGAGGTGGAAATATTTCCATTTTCTTCAAATTAAATTATTAGAATAAGATATTTTAGTTAATATTAATGCAAGTTGTATAGTGCAAACAAATAATAATGAAAAGCAAATGAAATACAGAAAATCAAGTGAAAACTGAAGAGAAAGTATCAGTTTTACACTCATCCCAGGCTTTATAGGCTTCATAGTAAAAGATACATGTTTTAATAATTTTTAAAATAATTTTTAAATAATTACCTAAATGTCCTTACCTTAAGAGAACCGCTAATTTGCAGTTGTAATAACATATCAATAAGTAATTCTGCTCCCAAATAGAATGGTATAACAGAGGTACAGAGGAAGCCTTCCTGACTAATTGAAAATGTTTTGTAAAGATCTACTGCCTGTTTAAGTAGTATCTGCAGCTCTTGAGTGAAGTTCCAAAAGACTCGACAGCAGTTCTGAAGTAGAGTCCAATAGCCACCACGGTGAGCAAGGACCTAAGGAGAAAACAACAGTCAAAGCTCCAAAGTCCCAAAAGGAGTCCAACTCTACAAACATCGAGGTCAATAATAAAAATTATACCATTTGCTATGTGCCACTCACAAGCTAGATACTGTGATAAGATGTTTACATGTAATATTTAATTTGAATATTAATCCTATGAGATAGGTATACTAGCATTCTACTCAGTGAGGAGGAAGTGGAGTCATGGTCATCACCCTAGTAAGTGCAGAGTAGGATTTGTGCCCCAGTGGTCCATACCTGGAGATACAGAAGTGAGGGCACTTGAATCTGCCCTCATGCTGCTTCCATGTATCAAATAGGGCAGACTTAGGGATTTATGGAGTAATAAATTATATAAAGAACAAAAACACAGAAGTAGGTCAGAACTGGAGAAGCTATGAAGGTATGACAGGACTTTTTTCAGACAGGATGTGTTAGCAAAATAATAAACTTTGCCAGAGAACCACACAGACATCCAGGTACATAGAACAAAGAAAGGTTTATTGCCAGGAGAGGGGGGCCAGCAAGACTTCTTCTCACAAGGGAGGAATGAGAAGAAGCACCGGCTATTGTCTAAACCTAAGAGGTTTAAGAGGGGCTAAAAGGGGATAGGAGGTTCTGGTGTGGACCTGTGGGCCAGGGGCTTTATCATGGTGGACTAGGATTTATGGCTACTATCCAAATAGTAGATAAGAGTCTTGCAATTGTCCAGACCTAAAGGTCATTTTAAATGGCTCTTGTTGCCTTATATGGTGATAGCTGCCCCAGAGAAGTGCCATCCCAAGGTAAAGGGGGTTGGAAGTAGATTATTTACTGCCTTTACTACATGGGCCTAGTGTTGCCTCAGAAGGGAGCATGCTAAGGTATGGAAAAGGGAAAGAGTGGACTAAGCTATGGGAAGGGACTCATTTTGCTAACAAGATGGTCAGGAAAGAAGTCTTCTCTAAGGAGGTGGGAACCCAAATGTTGCATGAAGGTGGTAGATTTGGGGCTGTGGAGACAGAACATTTGAAATTCAGGAAACAGTAAACAGAGGATGGAGGTTGGAAATGCAGGCTGGGGGAGAGAGGGGGGAACAAGTTTAGTGATTTCAAGACCACAGGATGAGAGTGGGCTCAAGAAGAGCAGGAGAAATAAGAGCTGAGTTCTACAGAGTATGTGGAATTCAGATCTTCCATAACCCCTGAAGCTAGAAAGAAAGGAAAATAAGAGTCAATGCTTATAGTGGTCAAGGGGATGATTGGTGTCTACCTGACATTTTGTAAAATTCACCCTGTCCACTCCTTGGAGACTACAAAAATCTAGATGTTCTTCTGTTATCTAGAAAGAATAGTTCCCTTTTCCACACAAGAAGTGTTAAGTATATGCATTTCCTGCTATGAGAAAAAAGACTCATCTCTTTATAACTGATGGTTCCAGTTCTGTGTTTAACCATTTACTACATAGTGTCTTTAAAGTATATAAAATAGTTAATAGTTTAGCAATCTATTGCATATTTTTAAAGCATGAGACAGAAAAGCATTGCAAAGAAAATGTAAGTGGCCAACAGAGAAAAGAGATTGGGCTATGAGGAGGCCATTCTATAGCTGTGAAGTATCTTCCCTGGTCCTAGAAGAGAGAAGGTTATAGTTTCCTAGGAGACAGCAAGACCCCAGAGAAGATCCTGTGGCATCGCAAGAGAGTCTGTGTCCTACATGTGGCATGAAAGCAGCAGGACATGTGTGAGAGTCACAGGAATTTCATGGACAAGGACAAAGGCTACATGGGCTGAGTAGATGATAGAGAACTAAAGGAGCATACTTGCTCTCTTGACAACCTGACACTGCATAAGACTTCAGAACTGGAAAAGAGAAACACCTCAAAAATGGCTGTAGCTAAATCCAATAAGATGATGTCACGTCAAAACTAAAATTATATTCAAAACTAAATACATGTGGGATATATCTTACATGCCTGATTTTATGGGCTAAGATTTATATATGATCAAATAGAAGAAGTATCTTACCATTGCTCTTCTGCAATATAAAAAGGTTTTCATAAAATGATCCAGTCCCAAATTTGATGCTCGATCCTTTTCTTTGACATTAAGAACTAACTGAGAGTCGGACTCATACATTATTTGTGGCTTACAAAGAGTTTCTTCCTTGGCTTTAGCATTCAGAAGTTCAGAAAATTCTTCATACTCTACAGTTTAAAAAAAGGTATAACATTATTTTTAAAACAGCATAACACAAACATCAAATGAGCAATCCAGATACTAAATGCTCCATAAAATTTGGAGCAAGGGTAGACTAACAGAAGCACAACAAAGCAGGGGAAGTTACCAAAGACAGGTACTTAAATGTGGGAGCACAGGCTGGATTTAGTCATGTATAAAAATACGGAGAACATTTCATGCAACAGTGAAGGCAAAAGGAACAATGCAGAGAGAAGAATGAATATATTTAGGGAAAGCAATGACAATCCCACTGGTTTTTAATTTCCTCCAAGTAGTTATATCCATGACACATGCACTACAGAGCAAGTTTCACTCTGAGTTCATCAGTGCAGCAACCTTGGCCATTCATTTTCCTGCAGGTATAGCCACAAAACAGAAACACTGGGATGAATGTAATGGCATACATCATAATCTAAGCTACTAGAGACGCAGAGTCAGGACGATCATGATTTGAGGTCAGCATGAGAAAAGTCAGCAAGACCCTGTCTGAAAAAAAAAAAAGCTAAACTAAAAGCAAAAGCCTATGTGTAAGAGTGAAGGGGAGGGTATATAGTTCAAATGACAGAGGTCTTGCCTAGTGAGCATGAGGCCCTAAATTCAATCCCTAGCCCACCCCTAGTACTACAAAGCAGTAATGATTTTCCTCTCACAATCTTCAAACTGTACCAGACAACAATTCTCAGTAGCAGAATACCCTATTGCTAATAGAATTTTAGGTTGTAATCAGGGAAAATTTAGATATTATAATCTATATACAAAACTCAGTCTATACCTATGGAATTTACCATCAATATACAAAAATATTATTTGCAAGAACCAGTTAAACCTAATTTATGCTTAAAAGAAATTAGCATGTTAAGTATATGAATCAGCACTACTGATGTATTAAGACCTTGATTAATAATAATTTATAAGGATCTTAAAATGCTAAATAAATGGGTTTGTGAGAAATGAAGATAATAAAAATAAATTTTTATTCATAACACGGGTGGCATTTGAGTGACTATCTACTGGTTGGGAAGTGTGTTCAGTCTCTCCCATCTTTGCAGGAAAAGCTTATAAAATCATCCATATTTGGCACATGTCATCAGCACAGCACTCAGATCCAGAGACCTGATATGCACTGACTCTCTCTCAGGGTCCCCTGACACCTAATATTTCTTGGTCCTGTTAGCAAAATATTATTTCATTCATCTTGGAGTGAGATTTTACAAAAGGTGCTAGTTGGAGATCCTAGGGCAAAAAGTGAACTGTCCTTTGACAATAAATTCATCTGTTATGAATATTTTTGTGCCTGTTTTGTGTTAGTACATTTAGTGGAATTAGAAAAGTTCCTTCTACTAAACAAGTAGAAATAATAAGTCTGATAACAGTTCTTCAACTGTCTTTAACTACTTGATGCAACAATATTTGACAAGAGCAGAATAGTCAAATGCGTTTATGTTGGAACATACGAAATAGGTATTTCTGAATACATGTGATGACACAATAAAATATCTATTTTTAATACAGCAAATTCCATACCAAAACTCTATGACTTGCCAGGTTCAGGAGGCTCATGTCTGTAATCCTAGCTATTCAGGAGGCTGAGATGTGAGGACTGAGATTCAAAGCCAGCCTAGCCAGGAAAGTCTTGAGAATCTTATCTCCAATTAAACACCAGAAAGCTGGAAGTGGAACTGGAGCTCAAGTGGTAAAAAGAACTCGTTAAGCATCCTGAGTTCAAGCCCCAGAACCAACATCATACACACACACACACACACACACACACACACACACACACACACACTTCTTTTTTTTTTTTGGTCCGGTCGTGGGGCCTGAACTCTGGGCCTGGGCACTGTCCCTCAGCTCTTCAGCTCAAGGCTAGTGCTCTACCACTTGAGCCACAGCGCCACTTCCAGCTTTTTTCTTTTTGCTTATGTGGTGCTGAGGAATCGAACCCAGGGCCTTGAGCATGCAAGGCAAGCGCTCTACCACTGAGCCACCTTCCCAGCCCACACACACACACACTTCTATGACTCAAGTAAATATAGCTGGAGTTTTGGAAAAGGGCATGTATATCTTTTTGTGTCCAGGGGTGTGTGCATACGTATGTTTGTGTATGTGTCTGTGTTACCAATAAATAAAAACCTACAGACAATTAGTAAATCAAAATACTTATCTTACCTGATGATAAAGTTCCCTTCTTTTTTTTAGTTGAAAGGAAATTAAGTATTCCCTTGTAGTTTTCTATTTTCAATTTTGCTGTTGGTAATACAGTTCCTGAATTATATAGTGAGAACAGATTAGGATCACAGGTTCGGAAACTGCAAATGTAAATAAACCACACTTAAAAACGATATAGACAAAACTGAATGAAGTATGTCAAATACAATGCATTTTTATTATTTAAAAATGTAATAAGCTCTCAAACATTTTGATGGGCTCTCAAATTTTAGAACATAAATTTGGGCACTTAAAGCCTTTCTTATTAACTTTTAAAATTATGCAATGTAAGCCTGCTCTTAAGAATTTTAAATTAATATCTAGTTCCCTGAATGAGCACTAGAACAAAAATTTGTGTCAGACTAAAGCCAACTGACTTAAGTGCAACTCAGTGAAGATGCCTACTATATAGAACAAAATGTCCATAACTGCTATTTCTTTTTAAAAATAAAGACTAAGCCATAAACAGCTTTCTACCAAAAACAATTAAATAGGTACTATATATATAAAATCAAGGTCTTAATAAAATCAAAGTTAGCAGCAAGTTACAATTACACAAATTTAGTCAATGTCTTATTGTGCTAGCATGAGACCATGTATATTTTGTTATACATAATTGGAAGTTGAAAGACTTCCTCATTCCAGAATAGTAAGGAAATCTATCTTTTCTCTGCCAGTGATTTTAACCAAAATTCTGGAGAAGCACAGATACCAGAACAAAATTCATGTGGATTTCAATTTATGTATCTTTTCCTCATTACATTATTAACTCCTTAACTCATATTCCTGTCCCTAGTCTTTTCTCTCTTCAATCCATTTATATGCTACTGCTATAGAAATTTCTTATAATGGTACTTCTCAAAAATCTTCAATAAACTAGGTTCTTGCCATTTTAGCTTTGTAGGAGGCTGAGATTGGGAGGATCACTGTTCCAGGCTAACTCAGATAGAAAACTTAGAAAGAAAACTCTAAATGGTAGAAATGGGGCATGGTGGTATCATCTGAGCTCAGACAAAAAGTCTAACATAGATGGATCACAATGTAGATATGCTCCTGGGCTGGAGGTAAGACCTTATCTCAAAATAAACCATGGTAAAAAAAAAAAATAGCAGGGCTGGAGGCATGGCTAAAGAAAGGTCTTACCTGCTTAGCAAGAACAAAGCCTTGAGTTAAAAAAAACTCCAGTACTGCAATAGTACTAATATTTATACTAATAATAGTACTAATCTATTAATGATAATCCTCAATAATCCCCTACTGCTTAGATTTCATAGGAATCAATGATCTGGTACCAATTTACTCTTCTAATTACTTCACACCACTCCCTTTCATATGCCCTAGATTCTGGTCAGACTACTTGAGGTTCTTATCCTGTTTCTGTGCTCCTGCAACTACCAAAAACGCCTATTTTCCTACTTGCTCACTTCTAAACCTTGCGTATTCATGCCTGCTACATCTAGCCAGAAGAGAATAGTCCAAGGAAGATGATACCTTTAATTGTAGGTACTAGTGAACATCTGTGATACAATCTACCAGTCTCTTACTTGTACATCTTTTTCATCTTCTCATATGTGCTACAGCTAACTCAGTACTTGGCAGATATTTTTTGCATCATAGGCACTATATAAGCTTTTTAATGGTTACATGACATTCCATATTATGTATTTATCTTCTATTTCCCTCAACACTTAGCCAAAAGCACTTACAAGAGTTCAAAAATGTCTATTAAACTAATGACAGAACTTTATTACATGAGAAAACACAATCTCTTCATAGAGATTTCAAATATAGAAAAGAAATATTTTCATCAGGTATACTAACATTATCATGAAATTACCCTTGCACTGAAAGCCAGACTGACACATATGCGGGATTTATACAAGTTAGAACTTCATAAGTAAGGATTTATATCCCCAGCACTTGTTTGGAAAAGATTCTGACATGCTAAATTAAGAAATATCACAATGGCTAGAATACACAGGGATGTTCTGTAAGCCTCAGTGTCACCACCTTTGAGCCTTTGGCATACAAATGCACAATCCATGTTCATGAGGCTAACAAAATGTGATTTACTAATACTATACTATACCTGACCAACGGGTGTGAAGTACCAGGTTTCGCCTTCGTGCGCTCCCCTAGCTTCTGTAAAAGCAAGTGGTAGTGTGCGCTTGCCAGAAACAGGTTCATCTGAGCTCTCCAAGGCATTTCCTCCAGAAATATTTGATGAAATCTCTTCTTTCTAATGTAATTTACTACTATTGGAGTCAAGCAATCTCTCAAGCTTCGGGATGCTACTTTTCTAACATCAGCTCTCTTATTTCTGCCAAGGGAGAAAGACGTTTAAAATTGTACAACTTCCAAGTATGTAATAAAGAAAAAGGTTTCTAATTATCACAAAATACATTAAGAAGATATTTAACTTCCCTTATGCAAATGTTTCTGGTTTACTTATCATTTCCTCAGTGCTAAAAATGTGAAATAGGATGGAAAAGAAGACAAGGATAAGCACCAGGGACAACGACAACACATATTGCCTTGAAGCTTCTCCCATGTTCCAACCCAACCTAGAGATTTTCTTGTCCATAACCAAAGGTTACTGGGATTTAATGCTCATACTCATGGAGCAAATTTTGCTTAATATGAAACTCTAAAGGAAATGAAAATAGTCAAACTTAAATTATATGCTACAGAAAAGATTTTCAAATTTTAGTTAATATTTAAGTTTGGTTTTAGTTTGGGTTTGAGCTGTTTGAGATATATTTCCACTATGTTGCCTAGATTGGCCTCAAATTTACATCCTCCTACTTCAGACTTTACATGTTTTAGTGATATCTTATTTGGGTTCTTAATTATTAATTTTTAAATAATTATCATGAAAATTATAAACATTAGTCTTTTCCATATGTAAAGTCAGTTCTCAAAAAGGCCAGGAGCTCCCAGGTGATTAGCTATATCCTCCTTGCTCTTGAAAGTGAAAGTTAGAAGAAAAGCTTCCTTCAGATATGATGTTGATTGACAGACTCCACATGGCTTGGAAGGACACTAACCACAGCCTACCAATGATGTAGAATGCCTCTCATTTCATCATCTCAAAGTCTGTTAACATTATAGAATTCCAACAACCACATTTATCACACTGGTAGTGATGGCCACACAAGTTTTACAAATTGTTGCATATATATATATGTATATATGTATATATATATATATATATATATATATATGCACACATATAAAATTTCCGTAATCTGAATGAGGTCCATGGATTTTATCAGTGTCAATTTCCTGTGATATTGTACAACAATCAGACACTCTTAGAAACTAGACGATGGCTTTATGGAGTCAATTTCTTATACTGCATATAAATCTACAATTATCTGAAAATAAAATGCACTATACAACAAGTATGTCCACATTATAAAGTATTCAAGATTAAATTTAGGGCTATATACTACAGACTAGAAAGAAAAGGAAATAAGAGGTTAGAGTATTGCAAAGGAATCAGCAGAACATTATCTGTTCACATTCAAAAAATTAAAAAGCTGATCTAAGAAAAGCAGAGAATAAAACAATGGTCACTAGAAAGCATATGCAGAGAAAGACAGATAGATGTTAGATAATAGGTACATAATATAGTTAAGATAGGAGGTATTTATTCAAGTATTCTACCACAATAAGATAACAATACTTAACAAACATTTATTTTAAAAAATTTATTGTTTCAAAATAATCAGATTCCCAACAGATAGAAAAGATAAATATTAGCGGAGATGGAAATTCTATCATCGTACATTGTATACATGTATTGAATCAGCATACTGTATCCCATAAACATGTACAAACATGACATGTAAATTAAACATCAAAAGAATATTAGATTCTCCTTCAAACTAAGGGATCTCCTCACTAAACTACTGTTACCACCAATTGTTCTACAACCAGTTATCCTACAGCGCATCATTCTTCTCATTCATAAAATATATAGGACTTTAAAATATCTGCTTAGTTTTTTTACTTAGTTACTTCATTCTCGTCACCAGTACACAAGCTCCTTGAAGACTATGATTTTTTATGTCTAGTTCACCAGTGTATCCTCCATACCCGAAATAGTGCCTGACACTTGCCAATAAATGTTTGAGGTGTTGTTTTTTTATTTTTCATTTTTTAGCCTGGAGCTAGAACTCTGGGCCGTGGTGCTGTCCCTGAGTTGTTGCGCACAAGGATAGCACTTTACCACCTGAGCCATAGCTTCACTTTTGGCTTGTTAGTAAATTAGAAATTCAAGTGTCGTAGACTGTGCTGCCTGGACTTTGAATCAGGATCCTCAGATCTCAGACTCTTGAGTAGCTAGGATAACAGGCCTGCGCCACTGGTGTCTGACTCACATAGCAATAAATGTAAGCTTTTAATTAATTACTTAATACCTTTCATGTTCTGGCAATTCAAGTAAATTTTGATTTTTGGAAAAAAAATCCTTGAGGGTTTCTCTTCTTCTACGTCTTCTCCTTGATCCCACTTCTGAACTCTTAGTAGATGGAATAACAAAAATATTACAAATTAAATATAAGCTTTGAAACAAACACTTAATGCTTATCTTCTAAGATTGAGACATAAGAGTTTCTATCATTCAACTGAAATTACTATCAAATGTAATGTTAATACCCTTAGACAAAGATCTTTGACTATAAAAACCCTATATGATAACTTAAGAATCTATAATGTATCACAGAATTACAAAATTATGTTTTTGGTATTTCCTTCTGTTTCATATTATAAAATTAAAATGTAGTCAATCATTTCTAAATACATGATCTCATAATTTTTTTTGTCAGTCATGGGTCTTGAACTCAGGGCCTGGGCACTGTCCCTGAACTCTTTTGCTCAATATAGCTCCACGTCCAGCTTTCTGGTGATTAATTGGAGATAAGAGCCTCACAGACTTTCCTGCTTGGGCAAGGTTTTGAAGAACCATGATCCTCAGTTTCCTGTGTAGCTACAATTAGAGTCATGAGTCACCCCAAGCTTGGCATAATCTCCAAGTTTCATTAACTTAAAATTCAAAACTCACTAAAGCTACCAGCACAACTATGTTCATTGCAGCATTATTTACCATAGCTAAGAATTGGAATCAACCCAGATGTCCTTCAGTAGATGAATGGGTCAATAAAATGTGGTTAATATACAAATGGAATTCTATGCTTCCATCAGAATGGCATCACCCCATTCATAAGGAACTGGAAAGACTTGGAAAAATTCTATTAAATGAAGTAAGCCAGACCCAAAAAAACATAGGCTCCATGGTTTCTCTCACTTATAATAATTAGTATATGTCTAGGACAGTCCTAGCAGAGGATCACAATAGCTCAATAGCCATGCACATATGACATATAAAATGATGCTAATAGAAGTGAACTCCAAGAAATGGATACAAGAAGGATTTTTGTATTTTTTAATGTATTGTGTGAAGTTATTTCTTTTTTCATTCATTTTTCCTCCTTTGATTTATCCCCATTGTTACTGTCTTTGATTTTGGTACCCTGTGTCTTGTACATACATTTCGCTATTGGGGAAGGAAAGAGGAATAACAAAATGGTGAGACAAAGTACAAAGGGTGAACCAATGCAACAGCGATACTCACAAGACACTATGTTGGAAATGAACTTTACAAATTGGGGGTAAGGAGAATCGAGGGGTAGGGGAAGTGGGAAAAAATGAGGAAGCAGGTAACACTATTTGTCAAGAAATGTACTCATTACCTTACTTATGTAACTATAACCCCTCTGTACATCACTTTTACAATAAAATAAAAGTTTAAAAAATTCAAAACTCAGAAGAAACTTACTTTTCCAATCTCTATTATTACAGCTTTGAACTTCTTTGGATATTTCCCTGCCTTTTTATTTAAAATATTTTCCTTATATTTTTGTTTCTTTACTCCAAGTAGAGACTCATTCCTCCTAATATAAAAAGATAAAGTTAGCCAGAAAGATCTGCAAAAGGTATCAAACTACCCAAAAGTAATAAAATGTTACGGAATTCTATTACTAAAATTATGTAAGAATGAAATCCAAAAACTGCTGTGTCCCATTCATAGATCAGACAGTGATCTCTGTTCATGGAGAAACAGAAGGCCTCTGAGAAGAGCAAATCATCAGTCATACTATAAGACACAAGGAGCTGATGTGTCTATAAGAAATGGACAAGAATTGAAGGCATCATGTAGACATAAAGAAAATAAATACAGATAATTCCCTTCACACTAAGAAAAAAAACTATATCAGAGTACCTAAGACATATCTATCTTGTGAGAGCTCCAGCAACTACTGCCTTCTGGATACCAAGAGAAGACAAACACTACATATCTGTTGAACTTTCTTCCTCCCCTAGTCATGCAAAGAAGTTCTTGACCTTCTCTTCACATTTATGAACTTTAGTGGATTCCCCTTCTCCAAATGATTATCCTTCTATTGATACTTAGCAGTTAATTTTTTTCTGAAATTTATATACTTTCTAGAATTTACATTTCTTTTAGGAAGTACTTGCTAGGTACAGAAAAATTCTGCTGTAACATGACAAATGGGATCCAAAAATGTAAATTGAATAAAATGAAGAGGTGCAGCAGTACAAGGTTAATGCAGTGACTGGGTGTACAGATAACTAATTCCTGGAGTTAGAATGTATTATATGATCTAGTCCATCTTGGTCCCACTGGCAGTGCCCGGCCACTTCAATTTTTATGAAGACTAAAATCCTATGGTTGGTTGGGACTCCAGCACAGTTGCAGCAACTTCAAGAATCTCCCAGTTAGCTGATATTCATTTATGCTTTTCTTTTCTGGTTGAGATAGAAAGCCTTAACCAATTATTGGTAGGGGATTGGGGACTCAAACTCTGCAACTTACATCCTGAGAGCAATTGCCTGCCATATTCCACTGATATTAGTCTCTTCTCCATGTCTTTCCTATCATACCAAATATTTGAAGGTTGTGTTATGTTGCTCCAGAAATAAATGAGAAGGTAAAGAGAATATAAAGATATATACACTTAGACTACCACACGCCTCAGCATTTTCCTTCATGCACTAAAATACTTGGAGCCACTGGGAACATCAAACTTATCTACTTGGTGACTTCAAAGCTTTGCTGGTTTTCTATGCTGTTTGTGGTATGTTAAAAAAAAATTGTGCCAGGGGCTGGGAAGGTGGCTCAGTGGTAGAGTGCTTGCCTTGCAAGCATGAGACCCTGGGTTCAATTCCTCAGCACCACAAAAGCAAAAAAAAGCCGGAAGTGGTGTGACTTCAGTGGTAGAGCGCTAGCTTGGAGCTGAAGAGCTGAGGGATAGCACCCAGGCCCAGAATTCAGGCCCCACAACCAACAACAACAAAAAATAATAATTGTGCCAGTATGGGACCTGAGCTCTGTCCCTAAGCTCTTTTGCTCAAGGTTAGCACTCTATCACTTGAGACACAGCTCTACTTCTGGCTATTTTGGTAGTTTATTGGAGAGAAAAGTCTCACAGATTTTTCTGCCTGGATGGCACTGAACTGCAATCCCCAGTTTCAGCTTCCTGAATAGCTAGGATTACAGTCGTAAGTCACCAGCACCTGGTTTATGGTTTATGGTTTTGTTTTGACAGATCATATTTTTAAAATTTTACTCAGTCAGCATTATTGATCTTCTAATTTATGGAATTCATTATTTTTATTCTTATAAATACCTGTCTTTAACATTTCAGTCCCAATGGTTTCACATATATATTCTTACTACCTCACAAACATAAATATGTTATATATACTAAGAATGACTGACTTATATATTACTTCCCACTTTTTTTTTTTGTCATGGGGCTTGAACTCAGAGCCTGGGAACCATCCTTGAGCTTTTTAATTCAAGGATAGCACTCTACCATTCTGAGCCACAGCTCCACTTCTAGTTTTGTGGTGGTTAATTGGAGATAAGAGTCTCACAGACTTTCCTGCCCAAGCTGGCTTTGAACCATGATCCTCAGATCTCAGCCTCCTAAGTAGCTAGGATTATAGGCATGAGCCACTAGCACCCTGCTTACTTTCCACTTTTTTATTCTCTTGTTATAGGGCTCTGCTAACACAGCCTACTAAAGTCAATATACTAGAAAACTATACACATGTTTTAAAATAGCTTTATGTGAAATAAAAATTATCCACTTTTAATTATGAAAGAATTACTCTAAACAAATTTGAATTATCCAATTTTTTAAATTTTTACTCAACTATTACAAAACTTTCTAGAAAATCATTACTTTCAACTAGATTTTTAAAACTATTAATGTTAACTTATAATTATGCTAAATTATTACGATTGTTAAAGAATCATCTATTGGAGTTAACCAATTAGATTCTCTTAGAACCAACTTATAATTGATTAATTTCAACTTTTATTGTTTTCTTCTTTCTTTGATTTCTTTCCTTTTTTGTTTGTTTGTTGCTGTTGTTGGTCATGGGGCTTGAACTCTGGGCCTGGGTGCTGTCCTTCAGCTCTTCCACTTAAGGAAGGCGCTCTACCACTTAAGCCACAGTGCCACTTCTCGTTTTCTGGTGGTTAATTGGAGACAAGAGTCTCATGGACTTTCCTGCTCAGGCTGGCTTTGAACCAAATCTCTGAACCTCAGATCTTAGCCTTCTGAGTAGCTAGGATTACAGGCATGATCACAGATGCCTGGCCTATTTTTTGATGTCAATAAAATTCTACCTAATTTTATTTTCTTACTTTGTAAGAGAGACTTCTAAACATAAGAATCTGTCTCTTGGGGCTGGGAAGGTGGCTCATTGGTAGAGCACTTGCCTTGCATGCCTGAGGCCCTGGGTTCAATTCCTCAGCACCACATAAGCAAAAAGAAAAAAGCCAGATGTGGCACTGTGGCTCAAGTGGTAGCTAGCCTTGAGCTGAAGAGCTGAGGGACAGCGCCCAAGCCTAGAGTTCAAGCCCCATGACTGGACCCCCCCTCCCCCCCCCACACACACACCACAAAGAATCTGTCTCTAACTGCTATTTCATATACATTTAAAATCTAGGGTTCCTCATTAGAATTATTTTCAAGAGCACTTTTTTGTTGTTGTTGTTGTTTGTTTTTACTTTTTTTTTTTTAATTTTATTTTATTTTATTTGTGAACATACTGTACAGAGGGGTTACAATTACATGGGCAGGATAATGCGTACATTTCTTACCAAGCATTGAAGCCTCCTCCTTTGGTTTACCCTTCACATCCCTTCCCAGCCTCCCTCCTCCCCCCCAATCCCAATCCTTCTCCTTCCCCCCCTTCGCCCCCCCCCCTGCACCGACGTTGTAAAGCTCGTTTTGGACATGACAACTTGTACTTCTCATTGTTGCAACAGGTCCACCTGTATCCTTAAACAACTGGTTTTTCCCCATCTCCTCCACAAGTTATACTGACATCAAATATAGTGAAAGCACGGGTTATACTGTGGGGGAGGGACATACAAAGCAACAAAGAGATAATCTTATAAATGCGTTCGAAACACATGCATGAAAGAAAAAACATTAAAATACATATCTAAGGGTTCGTTTTCCTGACATCACATTATCTGACCTTTTCCGCTTGACTCATACATATACTAGATATTGCAAATAAGGGAAACCATGGGACCTATGTTTCTTTGGGCCTGGCTTACTTCACTTAATATAATTTTTTCCAAGTTTTTCCATTTCCTAACAAATGGGGCAATGTCATTCTTTCTGATGGAGGCATAGAATTCCATTGTGTATATATACCACATTTTCTTGATCCATTCATCTACTGAGGGGCATCTGGGTTGGTTCCAGATCTTAGCTATGGTAAATAATGCTGCAATAAACATAGTTGTGCTGGTAGCTTTAGTGTGGTCTTGTTTGTAAACATTTGGGTAAATGCCCAAAAGTGGGATTGCTGGGTCATAGGGGAGTTCTATGTGAAGTCTTTTGAGGAACCTCCATACTGCTTTCCAAAGTGGTTGAACAAGTTTACATTCCCACCAACAATGAAGTAAGGTTCCTTTCGGTCCACATCCCCTCCAGCATCTGTTGTTGTTAGAGTTCTTGATTTTTGCCATTCTAACTGGGGTGAGGTGATATCTCAATGTTGTTTTGATTTGCATTTCTTTTATGGCTAGGGATGTTGAACATTTCTTCATGTGTCTATTGGCCATCCTTCTTTCTTCTTCAGAGAAGTTTCTCTTTAAGTCTTTCTCCCACTTATTTATTGGGCAGTTGTTTCTTTGAGGATTTGTTGTTGGGGGGTTTAATTTTTTGAGTTCCAAGTATATTTTAGATATGAGACCCTTGTCCGTTGTATGGCTAGTAAAGATCTTCTCCCAATCCGTGGGCTTTCTATTGATCTTGCTAGCTATGTCATTTGCCCTGCAGAAGCTCTGCAACTTTATGCAATCCCATTTGTCCAACCTTTCTTTGATTTGTTGTGTTTCAGGGTCTCTATTCAAAAAATTTCGGCCTGAGCCAAGGAGACCTAGGGTTTCTCCTATTCCATCCTGTAATGTTTTCAGAGTGTCTGCTTTGACTTCAAAGTCTTTGCTCCATTTGGAGTTGATTCTGGTGCAGGGTGATATATAAGGATCTAGCTTTAGTTTTCTACATGTAGTTAAACAATTTTGCCAGCACCATTTACTGAAGAGGCTGTCTTTCTTCCATTCTATTGTTTTAGCTCCCTTATCGAAGATTAGATGGCTATAGGTCTGTAGGTTCATTTCTGGGTTTTCAATTCTATTCCATTGGTCCTGAGGTCTGTTCTTATGCCAATACCAAGCTGTTTTGATTACTATGGCTTTATAGTAGAGTTTGAAATTTGGTATTGATATTCCTCCAGCAGAGTTCTTTCCGTTGAGGAGCGTTTTTGCTATTCGGGGTCTTTTATTGTTCCATATGAATTTTTGGATTGCCTCTTCTATTTCCTTGAAGAATGAGGGTGG